CCCGGATTTCGTGCAAGCCGAAAAGAAAAACGATCTGGGGTATTTATCCTGTCTGCCAGGCTGCTGGCACTGTCACACACAAGGTCCATTCTTGGTGGCCCCAAAACGCATAACTAGTTATGCTATCGACTGCGCATCTCTACTGCGCATCCCATAGTTTTGTCTTGGAGGCAATACCCAGCAAAACTCCTTCAGATTCATGCCTCCTGGTCATTCTTATTTTCCTCATAACGCCTTAAAAAAAATTGTTGAGCGTTTGTGAAAGAAGCTAAAATAGAACGTTGAGATAGAATGCCTTCGGATTATAAAAACATTATTTCTACTATTTGCTCGTTGAACAAAACATTAATCTTTCATCAAACAAACACTACTCTTCCTCGTTGATCAATCACTGGGTATTAACGAAAGACTATTGTTATTTATGAACATGAAAGTAAACATTTACTTTAATAATAAACTATTGACTCACTCGATGTTTCCTCCCAATCCACAACATCGACAGGTTTAAGATTAATCCTAATATGTGCATTTCAGGAGTGGTGACAGGTGTTGATGATGGGCGGGACGAGGGCGCGGGCGTCAAGGTGTTCGGGTTACAGGTAGACACGTGGGCGGCACCTCGTGATGACGTCATGGTTAGATACAACATGTGTCTCAAGGTAAGGTGTTGGGTGATGGTGCCAACATGTGTCTCAAGGTAGGGTGTTGGGTGATGGTGCCAACATGTGTCTCAAGGTAAGGTGTTGGGTGATGATGCCAACATGTGTCTCAAGGTAAGGTGTTGGGTGATGGTGCCAACATGTGTCTCAAGGTAAGGTGTTGGGTGATGGTGCCAACATGTGTCCAAGTAAGGTGTTGGGTGATGGTGCCAACATGTGTCTCAAGGTAAGGTGTTGGGTGATGGTGCCAACAAGTGTCTCAAGGTAAGGTGTTGGTGATGATGCCAACATGTGTCTCAAGGTGTTGGGTGATGGTGGGTAAGGTGTTGGGTGATGGTGCCAACATGTGTCTCAAGGTAAGGTGTTGGGTGATGAACATGTGTCTGAAGGTAAGGTGTTGGGTGATGGTGCCAACATGTCTGAACTCAACATGTGTCTCAAGGTAAGGTGTTGGGTGATGATGCCAACATGTGTCTCAAGGTAAGGTGTTGGGTGATGATGCCAACATGTGTCTCAAGGTAAGGTGTTGGGTGATGGTGCCAACATGTGTCTCAAGGTAAGGTGTTGGGTGATGGTGCCAACATGTGTCTCAAGGTAAGGTGTTGGGTGATGATGCCAACAAGTGAACTAACCCTGATGGCCACCAAAGTTTCAGCTGTATGACGTGTATGAATCTTGTTTACTGTATTGATCTGTATTTCACTAAAGGAAGTACAGTATCACGCTTCTGAACCACCAGCTGAACCTACACATACACACACACACACACAGTATACAAGTGATAGTGGTCATGATATTCGCCACTTTGTTCTTTATCTCTCCGTTCATTTTTTTCTGAAGGTTTTTGTGTAGTATGTACCCTTATCTTTGCCTTATGACACTTGAGCATTTACTGATGTCGTGTTTCATTTTTTTTAATCAGTGGAGATGGAAAATAGAATCTCAAAATGTTCTAAAATCAAGATGGTTGATTTGGGCCTTATTTACAATATATGGAAAGCTGAATCATTTATGTATATTTTTCACCATTATTCACCTGATGATGGCAGCTGTACGATCAGATGACTATGGTGAAAGGTGATTATTATTACCACCCTCACCTGGATCTTACAGGGAGGTAGGCGGAGCAGCGAGGTGACGGTGTGTTACAGGGTGCAGCCAGTCACCCTCACCAGCTACGAGGTCCATCTCTCTCTGGCCGAGTCTGACTTCAACAACAACGTCCTCCATATCTGTGAGCCTTCCGTCCTCCACTTCAGATCACCATTTACACTATATCTAATTGTTGGTGTGGAGAAGTACTTCCACATACTGTACACTATATTTTATTCTGGGATGTTAACTTTAATAACTCCCCTACACACGTGTCTCCCATACAAGGTGGCGTTTGTGTTGCAGTTCGTAAGGGCGGAACCAACGGGTTATACTACAACGGTAACAAACAATACGGTTCTCCGACCTTCACCACAGAAGTCAGCCTTCACCAGTGGGTCCACTACTGCCACGTCTTCTCCACCGGCCACTACCGCGCCTTCGTCAACGGTGAGGAGCGGACACAGGGTACCCTATACACCCAAGACCTTGTCCTGGCTCTCAACAGCACCCTTATCCTAGGCCAGGAGCAGGACCTCCTCGTTGGGGGATACGACGTCCTACAAATCTTCAGAGGTTACATCTCTCAAGTCAATATCTGGGACAGAGCTCTCGGTGAGGAGGAGGTGAGAGACATGGCTTCCTGCCAGGCCGATCTGCGAGGCAACGTTTTCTCTTCTGACAAGGAATACGTGGAGGTGTTGGGGGCCTCCGTCAGGCAGCAGCACCTCAACACACTCTGTCAGAAGTTAGACGAATATGTGATATTTCCTGAGATGCGTTACCTAGGTGAGTCGCAGCTTATGTGTCTCAGAGTTGGTTATGAAGTGTACGGACCCAAGACAAAGCATTCGAACTTTGCACTCTATAATGAATCCCTCCAGTTTACAGATTCTTGCTCTTCAAACTATCACTTGTGGCTCGGTCTAACGGATGAAGAAGAGGAAGGAAGGTGGCGGACCTTCTTGGACGACTCTGTGGTTCAAAACACTTCTTTTGAAGTTGCTGAACCTAATGGCAAGAGGAGTGAGAACTGTATTCTGATGTTTCGTCCTAACGGCTTGTGGGTTGACACTAAATGCTCACAAGTGTTTAAAAAAAAGTCTCGTTATCTTTTCCCCACAATATTCATAAGAATCTTTTGTCTCTTTATTGTGTACAATAGTTGATCCATTTTCAACAATTAAAAATAAAATAAAATATGTATAAAAAATACATGTATACTAAATATATATTAAATAATAAATATATTATACACAAAGGTACTCCTTTACATGCTGGTTAAGAATCGGAGTTCAGAATTTTAAAGTTCGAGTAATTAGTGTTAAATAATGACCCTTGAAAGTTGGTGTGTGCAATAGGGCTGACTTAGCCTCAGGGGAGGAAGTAGCACATCTCCATATAGACATCCAGAGCACAGGCCCTCATCATGGGAGACTTTAACCATGAGACAATAGACTGGATGAATCTTACTGAGGTGGACGAGGCCCGTCCATCATGGGAAAAATGAAATCGTCGAGTCTCCTTACTTGGAGCTGGCGGACGCTCGCCACACATGGGGTCACAGCTCAAGATTGAAGAAGCTGGTGATTAATAGCACGAAATCATCATCTGTACCTGTCACAAGCGGGGTACCACAGGGCAGTGTATTGGGCCCGCTGTTGTTGTTTGTTTTATAAATGACATGCCTGACGATGTACACTCCTCCATACAAATGTTTGCCGATGACGCCAAGTTATTTCGGGAAATCGAGAACCAAGCGGACTGTGAAGAGCTGCAGAAGGATCTCTGTGAGCTCCAAGAATGGTCAAAGATGTGGCTGCTGAGATTCAGTGTCACGAAGTGTAAGAGGATGCACCTGGGGCGTACCAACGGTAAGGAGGCGTATCATATGTCGGGTGAAGAAACTGCACTATTTGAGCTGAAGTTTTCAGGCCATTACGAGAAGAAGGTAAATCAGGCAAATAAATTATTGGGTCTTATAAGAAGGTCGTTCAGATATCTCGTAACGATCTTCAAGAGTGAAGTGCTTCTCCATCTGGAGTACTGTCACCCCGTCTGGTCCCCGAGATATGCTAGGGACTGTCAGTTGGTTGAAAATGTTCAAAGGAGGGCCACCAGACACCAGACTGGTGCCTGCACTTCGGCACCTCAACTACCCTGAGAGATTGGAGCGCCCGAACTTGCCTAGCTTATAATACAGACGGGCAAGGGGCGACCTAATTGAGGTGTAAAAGCAGCTTAAGGGGCACTACTCAGTCGAATGTCCTTACTTGGAGCTGGCGGACGCTCGTCCCACAAGGGGTCACAGCTTAAGATTAAAGAAGCCGCAAATCCAGAAAACTGTGAGGGCAAGCTTTTTTGGAGTGGGAGTTGTGAACTCTTGGAACAATCTGCCAGAAAATGTTGTGACGGCGCCGAATGTGAGTTCTTTCAAGGCCAGACTTGACCAACACTGGAGCAGGTTCAGGTACATTCAGGAGCCGGTGCATGCCTAGTACCTCCCAACAGTGCGTAACAGAGAGCCAGTACATGACTAGTACTTGCCAACAGTGAGTGACAGAGACGTGACCGATCGCCCAAACGGCTAACGAGCCGATCAATGGTGAAGAGGATAAAAAAGAATAGGTACAGTTATACAATTTACATGTAGAGTGCTTAGTTAGGCTAATAATGACCGAACATTATAGAACCTAATGTATGCAGAACGATGCCAAGTTATTCAGGGAAATTTAAGAACCAAACGGATTGTGAAGAGCTACAGAAACATCTCTCAGTTTTAGGAATGACTTGTGATTCAATGTCACGAAATGCAAAAGGATGCACCCAAGGGCAGCAGTGATCTTGGGCGTCCCCAGGAGTGGTTGGCGGTCCGAGGTGCCCCCGGCCTAGTGGCTAACGAGCCGATCAGTGGTGAAGAGGATAAAAGTAAAAAAATAAAATATAAAAGAGTAAACAGCTTATTATGACCTTTTTTCCCTAAAAGCTGTCTAATTCTTTGCCATCTACAAAATTTCACATGAGGAAATATATAAAACCTTAACAATTGTTCATCACTTATGTGAGAATCTAAAGATTTACCGTTTAATGTACAGCTCATCATGCCTGCTTAAAACACAAACAAACACAGCTGCTGTTTAAAGATCAATTTTAACGTATTAAATTTTACCTTTTAATACTAGTTTCCATCAAAATAACACATGAATCATCTTTTCTGCAATATTCTCGGAAAAACAGTTTAATGAGAATATTTACAACTTGGAGGGAATAAACCCTGTATGTTGTTTATGCAATCTGGAAATAAACTTCGCTATGTCGGGGTTTGTAAACACCATGGCTGCTAGGCACTCAGGTAAGTCCTGGCTTTTCGTTTTGGATTCAGATAGGCTGTCATCACGCTTAATAGATGATAAATAGTTTAATGTATTATTCATATTAGAGAAGTACAGACAAGTGCAATGATGAAGGTTGATGAGGAAATCTCTTGTCATTTCACACGAAAGAGCTGCCTCCACCACACAGGTCATCAGAACAGGGCGGCGAGGATGAAGTCCTTAAAATAAGAGTACTGTACTGTACTGTACTGTCTGGCGAAGAACAACTGAAATACTCATTTAAACTCATGAAAACATAAGTTTAGTCTTGTTGAGAAGTAGCTACTGCTACTAATGCACAAACACTTGAAAGCACAACCAAATTTTAAATGAAATATTCGGTATTTTTTTAATATTATTTTTGCAAGTAGACAACCAATGAACCTCATGAATTTTTTCTCGTTAAGTTAGGTTAGTTTTGGTGCTTTTTGGTTGTTGAGCAATGTGTTTTCTGATTATTTTTTTTTTTTGTGATCAGAAGGAATTTTACCATAATTTTTGCCGCCAATTAGCCGTGGTTGTCCACTTGTAAAAAATTACTTAATATTCTTTCGTGGAAGTCGTGGCATCCTGTGTATATATTGGTAACATCGACTAAGATCAGGGATCACTTGCTACCTTACAAAAATTATCTGTAGACGGAAAGTTGGCAATACTGAAGCAAATGGCTAGCACCAGAAGTTGTTTTATTTTTTTTTCAACAGATGCTGACATCATTATAGTAAGTATTTTAAAAGAGGTGATATTTACTAGAACCTAACCTAACCAACCAAAAAACCTACCTAACCTGACCTAACCAACCAAAAAAAAGCTACCTAACCTAACCAACCAAAAAAACCTATCTAACCTAACCAACCAAAAAGCCTACCTAACCTAACCCGACCTAACCTAACCAACCAAAAAACCTACCTAACCTTACCTAACGTCCTTGTTTTGTTCTTATTGGTCGAGGGTGATGATGCTGATCTTAGGTTACTGAATTTAGTCACTTGTAAACCTAACCTATCCTACCATACCCTAGCTAACCTTACTTATCCTATCCTAACTTAGAAGTGTTTGAGTTTATGGAAAGCAAAACACTGGAAAGTGTTCATCTGTATTGGTAAACTTATGTGAAAATTTTAGTCTTGTCCTTTTTTGGAATATTCTTAACATAAGAAAGAATTCATTACATTTTGTTTTTTAAAGTTGCTGTTTCTTAATGAATATAAAATGGAAGTGTTAATATCTATGAAATATTTGTAATTACATATACAGCTAATTTACTTTACTATATCCTCTTTGCCACTAAATGAACTGGGCAGTTGGTCAGAGAATTGCATAACATCATCAGCCTTGACTAATCAATATGAATGCCACACAAATGGTGGTAGCAAATACAGTATAAGGTCTGTAGCCAGACAATTAATCACTGATGATAACTTGTGCAGCTGTGCACAGCACATTTGTGTAAAATAACAAATTTTAATGTTTAGCACAATCTTCATTCCAGTTCTCTGACTGCCCGCCTAAGCATCTAACAGGCTAATCAGTGGTGAATACAATAAAGTTTAAGTACCAGTAACTGTTTGAGTGATGAGAAATGTTCATAGCCAGTAACACTTCCATTTTGTGCTCACTAAGAAACAGCAACTTGAAAATTTTTTTGTGCTATGTATACTGTAATACTGTACATACTAAATTACCTGTCACGGCAATAGCTGGCAGGCTGTTTGGGGCTATTTTGCGGGTCCATTGTACTGTATATGTAATAGAAATAATGATATAATAGTATTTATTATAGCATGCAAAGAAAAACAGCCTGTCAGTTATTGCTGTGGCCAATAAATTAGCACTGTCTAAAAAGTTTGATTTCTGTAGCATTTTTGAGCAGCTTATTTAGAGGTGTTTATGTAAACATAGGTATCCAAAAGGCTTCTTTTTATTTCACTGGTGTAAAATTGTATACACTTGAAATCTGGATGCCATTCACCTGTACAGTAGTATGGTAACATTTTCATGATTAACCCTCTCATGGTCTTTTGATGCTGATTGTGTCACTAAGTACTTCCTGTGCTGGCATGACCCCTCCAGCTCGAAAGACCACAAGGGGTTGAGATTTCCGACCATGGCCAGGATTACCACAAGGTTAATATAGCATTGCTCTCTTACTTTTTTTTTATACTTTGGAACCTTTAAGCATTTGTTGTTTGCTCTCAAATTTAGGTTATTGTTCTTCTGACATACATTATGTTTGTTTGCAGGTTGTTTAGCACAGCTATTTGTGCAGAGATGGCTTCCATCCTCTTTGGGCAACTCCTCATACCTTCATACTGGCTCTGTGGTGGAGGCTGCCAGGAAAGGAACTCGAGCAAAAGCTGAGGCCAAAAAGAAAGCAATAAAGAAGGTGCAAGTTAAGAGAGAATTTATTCCTCTGAAGAAGAGGCTAGAGTTGCTGTAAGTTGCCAGGAATCATGATAGTATAAAAAACACTTCCAATCCTCTCTTAATGGAAAGTCAAAGTAATTTCTATAAAGTAGATAACTGCCGTGTTTTGTATTTTATCCATAAATTCTCTTAGAGACTTAGACGGTAAAAAAAATTATTTTAAGGTGCACGAGAAGCTTAATCTTGTATGGTACTGTATATACTGTATACAGTTTGATGAAAATATAAATTTACTATTAATTATTATAAGTGAGATCACAAGAATTATTAGGACAAGGTTTGGGAGGCATTAGGTAGAAACATTATTTTTGCAATAATTTCACAAGGTGTGTTGGGGGCTTGTGGAAAGCAAGTACAGTACTGTGATTAAGGTGATGCCAAAATATCCACATTGTTCTTATTTTAGAGGTTTGAGGTTTAGTTGAAAGAATTAGAGGGAAGATGTTTAAAGATTATAAGATGATAATGGGAATATTGGACTCGGTCATTACACAGGTGTGTGAACTGGGATGTTCATTCATTAACAAAATTTTCTTTATCAGACAAACTGGTGGTGTATCTCCAAGGCGTAATGAGGACCATTTAAAGGAGCCTATTGATAATGTGTGGTTCACTAAGTACTACAAGAGGCGGGTATGTTGGAGGTGGAATACTGTAGAAACTTGTTATTGTATCATATCTTAATCATCTTGAGTTTTCGGTATGGATTGACCATCAGACTAATTGACCAGCTTATTTAATGTCTAGTGATTCAAGTGGTTACTGAAACAGATTGTTAATTTTTATAGTAATAAAAAAAAATACCAAGCTTTAATTAATCCTCCATATTTATTAGACTTAACACAACTCCAAATATTTCTCATGCAAGTTGTAAATCATTTTCAGATCTACAGTGTGAAGGATGTGATAGCAATGCACAGAGAGACACATCATGATTCACAATTTGGCCTCCCAGATGCACTGGTAAAGGCTTATGTTGAACTTGATATGTCTGCAGATAAGAAGGTATGCAAAATTGATAACAATAAACTTATTGTTTTTCTGAACGATTATGGATATTATCATGTACTGTAGTTGTCTGTACTCTATCCTTAATTGAATATACAGTACAAGGAAATTTGAGAATACTTGTATAATACTGTAGTACTGTATTGTATATGCATTCATATACAGTCCATTAATACTAGAATGGCTAAGTGCATCATCCATGGCTTTGTAAGGTTTTTGGAAGTACATAGACTGATCTTGGTAAGTTGTAGAAGGGAAAGATTATCAAGTACATACAGTATGAGGTAGAAACTTGAATTTGGATAAAAATTCAACTTTTTATTCAAAGGCTTTGCTGTCATTCTCACAACTTTAATTTACTTATCTTCATATACCGTATGTTTTTTTATTGTATATTTGTGGAATTAGATTTCTGAAGAATATATTTCTTAAACTACTGTTCAGTAATATCCCTGAAAGTAAGTGCAGTAGTATCCAAAACAGGGTAAGAGATCAATATTAAAAGCACCATAATTTTTTATGCCTTACATTCACTTTCTAACTTTATTCCTGTTTCTACAGAATCGTTTTGTCGATAATTTTTCTAATGTAGCCGGACTACCACATAACTTCAACACAGAGCAGAATCGGACAATACTGGCCATATCTCGAGATGAGGACGTACTTGAGCAAGCTCGTGAGATGGGGGTGACACATGCTGCTGGCATAGAAATTATTAAGCAAGTGCAGGTCAGTTTATTGTGAAACTTTTACACCCTATCTCACTCTTCATACGTACTGTACAGTACCCATGTACTTTGCTGTATGGTACAGGGAGTCCCCGACTTATGAACATCTGACTTACAAATGCCCGCTGATACAGACAAGGTTAAACTTCAAATTTACAGTATTTTCTTTACCTGATGACTTATTTTTTTACTTTCATTTACTGTATTTTGTAATTCTATTTCTTCTTTTTTTTAAAGTTAGTGATTTTGAATATATATAAGGACTTAGGGTATGATATATTGGGATTTTAAACATTGTTCTGTAAGTATGTTATTCACATAGCATGTGTTTCAACTTAGTACATTTTCGACTTAAGAACGTCCTCAAGAACAGAACTCATTCGTAACCCGGGGACCCCCTGTACTGTACTGTACTGTACAGTACTACTAATTGGTAATAACTTTGAAAGCAGGTGGACTCTGCAAAACAACAAAAGAAAAATTGTACCTTGTATATACCTGTAGTGGTACTGTATTTTTATACTGTACTGTAGTATGACTTTTTTCCTGAATTTTTTTCCATTCACTATTATATATGTACTACTGTACCAATATCATTTTTTATTACTGTACTGTAGTTACATTTTGCACCAGTATTTGCTGTACCTGTCCAGTGGATCATGCTTTCCAAAGTCTTTTGTGATCCAGTATTTCAAATATTTGTTTTATGTCATGTCTTGTCACGTGTTATTATTTTTTAAAACTTTCATTCCAGAATGGTGAAGTAAACCTTCCAGAATATCAGCATTTTATTGCAGAAACAGAACTTTTGTCAGACTTGGTAGCCATTCGTGGGCTAATGAAGAGACGATTCCCCTCAGTTAAAAATGGTGAATATCTTTAAAGAGTTGTATTAGCCCGTCATGCAATAGTATGTGTAGGTAGTCACATTTCAATCACATGTAAAGGTTGTAAACACCTTTTGCTTTCTCCAATACATATTTTATTTGTCTTACAAGTGCATATAATAGAATAAAAAAAAATCTTTGGAGCTTGGAATCAAATACTATAGATTTTTTAGATTTTAGAAATACTGTATGGACCACAGATTCTGATCTGAATATTAGCAAAATTAACCCGCTTTGTTCAAGTTAGGTATTTACAGTACGGTATAACCCTGATTCGCAGTTTGACCTCCCTGACACGAATAACCACCTCTCATAATCACCGTGGGGGGGAGTCTCAGTCGGGGAAGATTTTTGGTTCTTACCTAGACCATCCGGGAGTCTGGTCAATAGTAAAAGCAAAGTGCACAACCTTGGGACCCCTGTAATGTGTTTAAGTTTCAAGTCTCTTAACGTCTTCCATTTTATAGCTATGGTTGGAACAGACACACTTACAGGGACAGATCATTTTATAACTATAGATAGTAACTAGGAAAGTGCTTTGTATACTTAATGCAGTTTCTAAATATTAGTTGTACTACTGTACAGTATAAGTAGATAATATATAAAACATTTGATAAACATTTAGCTACTGAAAATATTGTTCAGTAGTACAGTATGTACATTCTTCATACATACGGGACCACGGTGGCCAATCCAGTGAGCCGGAAACTGCCGATCCTGCCACTGGCGTGTGTGGATACCGTAATGGGGTGGCGACCAATCTTGCTGAGATGTAATGGTGCCCACATAGAGCATATTTTGTGACTTACAAGTGATTGTATAATAAAGTGATCATTTTGCCAATGTACGGAGACTTTTCACTCACCCTGTACATGCCACCAACACAATGTGATGAAGCTCATTACTGATTACAGTACTTTAATTTAATTTCAAATTATGTATAAAACAGGATAATAATATTGAATTAATAAAAAAAAATACAAAGTTTCAGCATATTTTATAAGAAGTTAGTACTATGTCATCAGAGTGAACTATCCAGGGGTAAAGAGGATGAGATATCGGGGGATTGCATGTGACATCTAGCAGCATGCGGCCACTGTTAACGTGAATCTTTGATTTAATTTGACCAATATTAATTTCAAAGCTATGTGAACACCATATTATTATTTTATAAGTATTTTATGGATAAAGACAACCAAGGTACAGTATTGGATTATTTATTCAGACCAGACAATTTATCAACTCTCTACTTCTTGCAGAGTCTCATGACTCTCAAGAAACTTCTAGGATGTAAACAAAAAAGTTTTCTTAAATCTCTGATTTTTTGAGATTCAGAATTGAAGGTTTGTAGCTGTATTTATGAGCAGTATCCTAGTTAATAGACACCTTATGTCACTTATAATATTAATAAAATTCTAGACATCTAAAGTCTTTCAGTGATCTGATCTTCATTTCTTTTACACAAAAATAAGGACTACTTCAAGCTCATTTATAAAATAATGTCCCATTTAGATATTCTGTACTGCAATGTATTAAAAATTTGTTGAAAGCTGCCTTCCCTAACCATTTATAGACATGCTATATCACTGCAGACGCCCCCAAACTTGAACCCAATAACCACGAATAAAAAAAAGTTTCACTTCTTTTGCCCTTTGAATGTTTTTCTCTAAAAAAAGAATAATATGGATCTTAAATGTTTAGTATTTAAGACTGTGACTGGTGTTGACAGTTTGATATCATGTAAATACTTTCTTTTATAGGAACTGCTGGCTCCAACATTTTACCCATCATTGAACGCTTCATAAAAGGCGTTGATTATAGAACTGTTATAAACAAGCATCATCTTGACTTTGCTACAATAGAAGCCCCTTTTGGCAGGGTAAGTGGTCAGAGAAAATGGCATGTAAACTTTCCTTTGTGTCTTTAATAGTAGATTAGTGTCATACCATTATACAAAACAAATTGTATCAGTTTATTCATTGAAGTTATTCAGATGCATTTTGAGTAGTATCAGAATCTAGCTTGATTAAGTGTTACTGCTCGAGGATATAATGTATGGCAAATGGGTTATTCATCAAGAGAGCTGCAATATTTACTCGTACAGAACACTTTCTGGCAAAGCCTGTTATAGTAATGTACTAGGTTACAATAATTATCCTCAATGATAAGTAGGTGGTGTTGGCCATTGTGTTAAAGTATACAGTAATTGGAAATCTACTCATTTTATGATAATTTTATATTATTGTCCTTTTATTAACATCATGTCTAACTTTTTTTTTTATTTGCAGTTGAATATGTTAGATGATCAGCTTGAAGAGAATCTAGCATCACTGCTCAATGACATAGAAAATCAGAGTCCTCAGAAAAAATCAAATAAACTTGTTACTTTGGTAAGTACTGTAGTAGACATATCTCTGCTTTTTCCTGTACTTCAGTGACAGTCTGTTCACTCGAATCTTAGCGACTGAGACGTAGGGTTAGTTTGTAACAAGGTAGCTGATTGACTTGCAGACAGACTCCCGAAAAGTCACCACAGTTTTTCGGCATTTAATCTTTCGTATTTATATTATCATATTTTAAGGGATAACAACTGTTTTGTGTTGATCTGATAATTTCCACACCTGGGGAAGCAAAAATTAGATTGTTAAATGCACGGGTAATAAAATTATAATTAAGAGAACACAAACATGATGAACAAATTCTGGGACATAAACTACTACTTGCTGCGTGATGTCACACAGCAAGGAGAAATGAGTAACTCTTTGTGTGTCCATCCGCCAGCCAATCAGCTGCCTTGTTACAAACTGACCATAGGCCTCAACTGCAAGATTCGAGTGAACAGACTATAATGAAACCTTACCCTCAATGAAGTACAGTACAGTAGTATTCATGTTATTTTTAATTTGATTTCCAGTCATATGAAGCACCATAAAAGAAGAGATTTTTTCATAATTGAAGGAGACTTGTTGGTGTTCAAATTTGTCACTGGACAGTTGACAGATTTTCTCTACAGTATAATAGAGATGACTAATTATTTTGTCATTATTCTTCTCACTAGGTTTTGTTGTGCTGAATTTTGAATATATTTGTTTTTCCTTTCCAGGTGTATATATGTTGTCTTCCCAGCACTGAACAGTTCAAGATTGACCACACAGCATACATCATAGAGAAGACTCGAAATGTGAAAGCTAGAGCAGTTGCATAAGGATTGGAATTGAATCCAAGTTTGGTGTAATACCAAAACATTATCACAAAAAAGGAAGATAAGCCTGTGAGAGATACAGTTATGTTCTTTCAGCAACAGGCGTAAATAAGGAGGTTAATCCATTTTTCTCTTCCAGCATTCTTGTGTAGACAGTGTACTTGTAAATAAGAAATGGATATAAAATTGTTTTTTTTCACCAATCATTTCTGTAGTGGTGAGTGTGGAAGTTAAATGTTACATCCATTGATCCATGTTCTTCTTAGCTTTATATATACTTGCCAGGGTTATTAAACCCTATACAAAATCGTGTAACCAGACAACAAATCTTAGCAAGAATTAGTCTTGCAACCAGTTGTAAATGCTACACAAAGTAATAGTGATATCCCCGTTTGCCAGAATAATTTATTTAGAGCTCATCCGAGGATAGGTGATTTCCGGGTAACAAGACAACGCTTGAATAAAGGCGGAAGTTAAGGTGTTTCCCTGTTCCTGTACAAATGGTACTTTCAAACTTACTGAATGTACAGTACTGTATACATAGCTGTAACACTTTTTATGTCTTAACACTGCTTTAACACTGTATTCTTGGCTGAATGTGTCCTGGTATAGTATTGTACAGTACTGCTGAATGCAAATTTAAGCAAAAACAGTAGCAAGTGAGGGATCAACCATGCACAAAGGCAGAGGACTTACCTAAGTTCATCATGATACTAGGCTTAGAGGATATAATCTGGGAGATGCATCAGCCTATCACAGGCATCCTATACAGTCACATGACAGTATTAGCCAATCACAGTGCGTGAGCCTATGGCCAAAGCAGTTTTTTCATCCACAAGGCTGGCACGTGGTGACACAGCAGATCATGATGCAATATCTCGGAACTCTCAAAACATATATTCGCAGACCCGGATTTAAGAGAATTTTTATGAAAAAATTCCTGGCCAGATATCAATTCTGTCTATTGGAGAGTGCCCAAAGCGTGCTCTTGAATAACGTCTCCTTGTACGAGCTTCGGTCGGACATGTCGACTGTGAATACGGGTCTAAATCATAAGGTGACCTGACCCAAACCAATTTAACAAGCTCAAGTTATTTCTTGAGTTAGGTTTGGTGCTTACCACAAGGAAATTTAATATAGAATACAATTCTATGTTGCTTAAAATTAATTTTTATACATTACTACATGTGTACTGACCACAGTCGTACATGTTAGCTAACATAAATGAGATATATGTTTAACCTTGTGTTTCGAAGCTGGATTCGGTAAAATGCTACTCCGACCACATAGTTGGCACAGGCAATCCCTAATGGAGGTTCACGGCACTTATCAAGCACAAGGAACGGGCTCTGTGTGGAATAGAACAAAGCCTAGGGTTGCTTTAGTTGTGTGGTGGTAGCGATCCCTGTTCCGGTCACGTCTCTGTTACTCACTGTTGGTAGGTACTGGGCATGAACCTGCTCCAGTGTTGGTCAAGTCTGGTCTTGAATGAGCTCACACTCGGTGCTGTCATAACACACTCCAGCAGATTGTTCCAAGAGGTTAAGCCCACCATGAGGATTAGCGGCCCAAACAATCAACAATACTGCTACCCTGTACTTGGTTCTCTCTTGGAGGTCACCCATTTATATCTAAAGTTACTTTGAAAATGTTTTCAAAACTATATTTAGGATAAATTAGAAAGAGGTTCTTAACATGTGGTCTATGGGCCATTTGCCAGTGGTTCACACAAGGATAAATATAAGTAAAAAAATGCAACCTAACTTCATTACTTATATTATGAAAAAATCCTCATTTTAGTTTTGAAGAAATTTTCAGTCGCTTGTGTATCGTGTGTCATGTTAGGTAATATAAAGCGGCTCTAAAACAAGCTTCAGGGACGATCATGGTCTTGTTCATAAATTAAAGAGATAAGTAAATGAACTGTTTAGGAGCAAAAACTTTTTTATTTTCTATTGTTTATTTACTTTGCAGAAGTATTTGTTTCGAAGTGATCGGTGTTACAAACTTCCTTTTGCCATCAGTTTACTTCAGTGTTCGCCTCCGTTGTGTTCGCTGACTTCATGTGTAATGTCAGCACGCGATTTCATCATAGAAACTTGTTAAATGCTGTTTTGTTTTATGGCCTTTATGCAAGGACAGGCGGGGAAGGTATGATGACGAAATACACAAACCTTCAAAATAGACAAATTATATTATCTGACTACATTAAGCTTAAACTGACTGACTGATAATAGCGTTAACTACTTTGCTTTATTCTCTTAGCCACTGACCGGCTAAACCACAAAGTAAAGAAGTTAATTATATATTTATTTATATATTCTAAGGGGCTTAAAAATTATTTGGTTAATATTCGTGTTAAAATTTCACGTGAGGACAAAGCATGTGTTCTTATGGGTTTAATTAACAGTGGTTGGTGGTGTTCGCCGCCTAGTCACCTCACGGGGCTGTCGCGTTCAGTCAATAAACTCGTGGTGAAACGATCTCAAGGAGCTGTGAAATAACTAGTCGACTAATTATATTATAGGGTGTGTGTGTCTACCCTACAGCCTGTGTGGTAAGTATGGCGATTGAAACCACCTTAACCCTTTGTTAAGTCGCCGGCATAAGTGTTTTGATCAATGTGGGAAAACTAGGTCAAGCCATATTTATTTCAGTATTGGGGAGAAGAATCCCCTCACCGGAAGTGTCTGCTTGTGGAGGTAGTTTTATTGGGCAGGTCTGCATGGCTACACTTATTACAGTGCTGTATTACTCAGTACCCCTCCCCCCACCTAGCCACTTCCAACCCCAGACCCGCCCTCAGTCCTAACATTAGACCCCCGTTTTTTTTAACAAGTTTGTCTCCTAAACACATTTCTGAATATAAAAACAGATGAGTGTAGAAAATTAAACAATCTTCTAGAATCACATATATTATGTACTACTCGGAGCACAGTGTGAAGTGCAACATATGGTTTTATATGATTATGAAAGATGACAAGAACTAACACAACACTCTTAGGTAATTGTTGATGATTGACCCGCTGGCAATTTATCATAGTAAATGATTATAAAAATGCCTCAATTTCACTGTGTTCTATAGAAGACACTGTCGTAGTTTATGCATTTTCTTTACCCAACCTACCCCAACCGGTAATATTGCAGTAAACAGCAACCATAAAATTCCGGATATTCTCTGCACTCAGTCGATAGAACTATTTTTTCTCTGATCATTTTCTTATATTACTTTAGGTTAGGCTAGGCAAATTTTTTTTATCAAAACGGGCCGCCTATAGGCAAAGGCCCGTGTCGGACTACGGTCCGACAATCTATACAACAACAACTTTTTTATCAGATTCTTTGGTTGCTATAATTGCAATTTTACCCCCCCAACCCACCCCAACCCAATCTAGCCTTACCTAATCCAGCCTTACCTAATCCAACCTTAACCTAACATAACCTAAACATAAAAAAACTGCTTTATAGAGGACACTGTCTTAGTATGTGCATGTGTTTGGTATTTTTTTTTACAAGTAGACAACCAACAAAAAATCTGTGGTTGTCTACTTGTAAACATTTACCAAGTGGTTTTTTAAACCCAACCCAACTTAACCTTAACATAAAACTCTCGCATTACTGCCGAGAAGACAAAGCAGTGAGCGCCTTAGGCACCTAAATATCTACCAAACGAAGCATTTGTCACAAGAAATGATTGTTGTATCATAACTCGCTGATGAAAAGAGTAAGAAAATAAACACCAAAACAAATATATAACTCGTCGGCAGTTTAGTCATCAATATTAACCATCTCTAAGAACCACTGCCACCAGAAGGAGTTGTTTGATTTTGTTCATTTAAGCATTATTGTACCTGTATCTTAGTTTTTTCTATCTGTGCTCTTAAATCACGTATATTGGGCAGAGCATGAAAGATGAGGGAAATTGCTGGGTAAAACGTGTTGAAAAAGGGATCATACAGCACTAAAATAATGTCTCTACGTGCTTTATACATGTAGAGTCTATTTATGTACCGTAAAAACTCTTCCGAAAAATCTGCTGAATCAGCGTGTCTGCTCAATTTGTTTTCAACCGAACAGCTTGGTCCGAGCAAACTATCACATCCACAAAATATAAAAAATTGGAACTGGACACTTCAATAAAGTTGCTTTCATTGGTACCAGGTATCAAAATATACTCTCTGTTTAATATGGTGGGGGTCTGTCCCCAGCTAGGAAGTTAGGTAAGGTTAGGCAGGTGTCTTTGGTTGGTTAGGTCAGGTTCTATTAAATTCTACTTGTAAATGTCGTCTTTTAAAATACTTGCTATAAAAGAACCTCAATAGCAGCACAAATTTTCTAGGACTAGGACTAGTTTGTAACATGTTTTTGTATGGGGGATCAGGCACTACTGTTATGTCCATAACTTAGGACCAATTGTAATTTGAAAGTTTTACTTCTTGTTAATGTTCAGGATTGTATAATATACTACTGCATACTTTTTGTTAAGCAATTATTGAATAATAACTTAATTTTCCAGCCACTCCCTTAATGACAACACAATACTGTATAGTACAGTAGTACAATATATGCTAACCAGCTGTTTCAGCCTTTAAAATTATAAATTACTCTTAAGGACATAAATACTTGGATAAAATGTCAATAATTGAACTTGTTTCTTAAAACAGGTAAGCAATCAGCAAACTAAGAAAACAACTACTGATAGTAAAGAGCAAACAACCATGAAACTGTTCTGTCAGAGAGATCATCCTAATGGGCTTAAAGTGCTGTTGGCATCAGCCTTCTCTGGCAATGCTGTGACAGTTGTTGAAGACAAAGGTATGTAATTCTCAACTTTTTTTTTCCATGAAGTACTGTACCCTTGTACTGTATTTGGGGATAGGACCTAGATATGGTACCAGTACGTAAACTAGTACAACATTGACTGGTAATAGGTGATAAACTTGATTATCAATACTGTATGCTCCCCCCCCCCACTACTGTGTTAACTATAGTGTCATATTGGTTATTTAGTCTATAAATTAAAAATGATCATGGAAGGAAACATGGAGGGATATTCAGATATTTTACATGATGAGTTTCCTCCACATGGACTGACGGTCAGCGGGAGTTTCATTTGGACATTAACCCCTTCACTATGGGACACAACTTTTAATATTTTATTTGGCTGATACTGTACCGGACAATTTTATCCAGGACAGAGAGACCCATCATACAATGGGTTAATAAATGCTGTATAGATGCAGTTTGATACAATTGGGTTGAAAAGTTCGCATAGAGTTTGTTGAAGACCTGAAGTTGCAACATAACAATGTGCTCTTTCACTCAACATGCTCCATAAGAGAATTCTTGGTCAAGTACAACATTCCATTGGTTACCCAACCACCATATTCACTTGATTTGGCACCAAGTGACTTTTTTTTCCTCAAGTTGAAAATGCCATGCAGTAGAAGGGAAGGGATTTCAGGAAAAACCACAGATCACACAAAATAAAACATGGAAATTTAGTGCCATCTTAAAAGAAGAGTACCGGAGGTGCTTCAAAAAATGGCAGGACTGCTGGAATCACTGTGTACAAACAAGAAGAGGCGATGCTGTATTTGTTTAAATAAATTTGTCGTGAATCTTTATGATGTGTGTGTGTGAATTACGGTATTAATTAGCTACAGTATAATGTTTGTTTTATGAATGTCGTCACTCATCCCTGAATTATTCTATCACCGACAGGTGTGTCATCGGGAGCAGTGCTGGAGGTGACGGAGGGTAATGTGACATTCCATCTTCATGCCAACAGTGCGGTCCTTTTTCTACTCCACAAATCTAAGCAAGATTTAGCGGATGGTTGGTACTCTCAAGACTGTGAAAAATGGCTTGAATGGGAAGCAACTGTATTCCAGGTTAGTTACCTGCTTTTTTTATTTATATATTTTTATTTATTTATTATTATTATTTTTTTTTAGAACCGTATTTCACGATATAGAAGACTTACTTTTTTGTCATAAAATGGCTTTAAGAATCAGCCTGCATCCTATATGAGAAGATAGTCCTCTCAATTCACATGTACATTTTCTGGTAACTAATTCTAAACTTGAACAAAAAGTTAGATTGTCAAGTAAACTGAGAAGTCCATTGATGTTTCAGCCTGCTCTTGTGCCTTACCTGACTTCTGTTGCTGGAGGTAAGGAGGATAAGTCTCTGAGAGCTGTCATGGACTCCTTACTGGCCAACCTGTATGCTTCTAACCAACTAAATAACAAGGTATGATCTTTATGGTTGAAAATCTTAGTACATACAGTGACAGTGTATTAAGGAATGGTTGGCTCTGATTTGCTCGAGATGGTGTACAAATAATTGTTAAACTAGATTAGATTCTGCCTTCCTAGAAAGTTGTATGTGCCTGTGTTGGTTAAGTTCACATCATTTTTGAAGCTGCTGGACGAACTAAAGATTATTGAACAGTTATGATGTGTTGTGAACGAAAATGGAAAATAAGAAAGAAATCAAAATAACTTTAGATAAATTAACTGGTTTCATATGTAGGCTAGTAGCTACATTCATGAATTAAGCGATGAGGAATTCTTTTGGTTGCATGGTACTATACTATAGGTTACTGGATAGATCTGGATGATGCATTTGCTAGAAATATGTCACCATAGAGAATAAGGTTATGTACTTTAGGGTCTTGTTGTTCTATAAATTATTCTTTATTGAAATAACTTCTTTCTGGAAAATGAGTGACATGTCCCCGAGCCTAGAAATTATTGCATACACCTTAGAAATATTTATTTGAGAATTGTTAGTTGCACTTACACTAATTAGCTCTAACTTCTCAGTGACACACCAGATACAGTAGTGGCAACTTACTTTCCCTTGTTTGAACTGACTGCCAGCCCATGAGAAAAGGCCAGCAAGGCAAGTGCCAGACTTCCCACAGCACCACATTTTGAGTGAACGAAGTGTATTTTAACTAACTACAGGTACATGTTGGTGAGGAACCACAACAGTAAAGATGTAGGAGGCAAAGTAACAAAGTTCTGCTGCATTCCATTAGATAATTCCATCAGAGTATGACATTACTGTACATCGGGGCACTACTAAAAACCTCCCTCACTGAATGTATTGTACAGTACGTACTTATAAAATGTTCTAATAAATGTTCTGCTATCTTCATGACTTAAGTGCATGTATTAATTTAATATCATTTTGATGGTGTTGATAAGTCAATTGTCAGGATTGTTATGTTTTGTGATATACAAGTGTATTTTCTTTATTAGGTTTTATTCACTTAGCTACTTTTCATGTAACTAAGAAATCCTTGAGTTTCTTTTTCTCTTTAATTCACATTCATAAAAAATTCTTCTTTATATGTCAGTGTACAAATTAACCATGTACAATATAGTAATGTAAAGTATTTTCATCATCTTTCATCTCTGTGTACCTGTATCTTCTAACAAAGTTAGCTTTAAACTGAAATCAAAACCAGCCTTTAATTGCATTTAACATCGTCATTCTGTCCTCTGTAGCACTTCTCCTGCACCTTATACTCATGAGTACAAACTATAATCCTTATTTTTATTTAATGTATTTTTAACGCAGGACTTGAGTGCAATATCTGTGGTATTTTTCTCATCATTATTGCCTTTGACAAGTGAGGCGACAAGTCTTACTTTCCTGGAAGAACGTCACCCTACTCTCTTGGCTTATATCAACACTCTGAAGGAACAGGCACAATATAAGGTGAGCTAGAGGTGATTCTATGTTTTATCACATCCCCACTACATATACTGTACTTTACATAGCAGAATAGCAAGTTACATCTGTCAGTCTGTCCACCCATGTTTGGTAATAAGATTATGCAAAAAATTATTTTACCTACAACAAAAAAATTTTGCAGGCCTATTTGTATACATCCTCAGATGACTTATATACTTGGTATTTGGAGTAGATTCTGTCCAAATATTGAACAAGGATTACTCCTTTTTATTCAGTTTCATGTTTATTTGTATTTCAGATGACAAAATACAAATATTATATGATTATATAAGTACTAATATAATTTCAGGAGTGTGTTGAATCTTGGTACAGCAGCAGTAGTACACTCAAGACCTGGGTAGCCCAAACTTCCATTCCTCTCAGTCCTGTTCATTCTACCTTGTCTCTCCTCAAAGGATCTCCCCTAACTCCCCAGTCTCCAAGCACTTCAACCTCCTCAGGCTCACCTGAACACGTAAGCAGTACAAATGTATAAGTGAAGCCTCCATATGACAGGGTTTCTCTCCATGTAATCTGTTAGATGGAGTTTTTACATCTAATGGACTTTCATGTCTATAAACTGTACAGTAAAAACCCTGTACAATATTTCAAAATAATAGGGCCTCTGTCCATTACAAATTGTAAGAGACACTTTCTCCTAGGGGAAACAAATGAATAAGAGTATTGTGTTTAATGAAAATTATAATATATATACAGCTACTCCCCGATTTTTTACCTACTCGACTTACGACCACCTGGACATACGACCGCCTCAGTCGTACCAAAATTTTGTCAAATTGCGTATTTTCGAGTCCCAACGTCAGTGATTGCGCTGTGTACTGACAAAATTTTCATTTGTAATTCACTTTAAAATGGCTGGCAAGCTTAAAAGTGAGAGTTTTGTGGTGCTGAGAAGAAAGAGACACCCATTTTAGAATTTCTATGTATTATTTTCGCCTTTTCGACTTACGACCTGGTCGTCGGGACGGAACCCCGTCATAAGTCGAGGAGAGACTGTATATATGTATATATATTGAAAGGTCTCACATTTTGAAATTTTACCAAATATTACAAAATTTGTGACATTTTGTAATGGCAAAACATTATGAATTATGAGTGATTTCAAATTATGGAAGTACAAATTATGTTTTTTTTTTTTACTTTAGTTGGTTAAATGGAGGTTTCACATTTAACAAACCCTCAATACAAGGGACATTCCTTTCCATATATTCTGTTAAATGGAGTTTTACTCTAGTAGAATAATGAACATATTAAGTTTTTGGATGGTAGGAATTTGTTAGAAAGAGTATTTTTTACTGTTTCTCTGCTCAACAACAACTTTTGCATGAATTTTTTATCACTTTTTTATGCTGTGGATGTGGTTGATGGCTGCTCCATCTGTATTAAGAGCCTTATCAATACATAATGTTTATCAGCAAGTGTTTTATTTCTGTTTGGCATTACCTATATCAAGATTAGAGAGATTGTTGACAGCTGCAGTATTGGGTAGATCTTGTCCCACCATTGGGCTGTGATGCTGCTTTTACATGGGTACTGATTTTATTTTATTTGTTATTCTCTCTCTTTGTCTCAAAGCTCTATCTTTATTTCAGGGTAAACCAGTGCGTGCGACAATGTCTGCTGAGCAAATAAAAGAAGCTCGGTGTGCATGGCTACAACCTCCCCCAAACTCAACAGTGTCAGCAGCCCGGGTAGCCCCTGTACTTCCTGTAGAGGGAGAGTCAAATATTCTTATTACTTCTGCTTTGCCTTATGTCAATAATGTACCACATCTTGGAAATATTATCGGTTGTGTTCTGTCTGCCGACTGCTATGCAAGATTTTGTCGTTTACGAGGAGACAACACTTTATATATTAGTGGTACAGATGAATATGGAACAGCAACTGAAACCAAAGCCATTGCTGAAGGTCTTACACCACAGCAGATATGTGATAAATACCATGCCATACATGCTAATGTTTATAAGTGGTTCAATATTAGTTTTGATCACTTTGGCCGCACAACAACAGAACACCAAACTAGGATTGCCCAGGATATTTTTGAAAAGTTGGATAAAAATGGGAAAATATTTAAAGAATCCGTGGAACAATTGTATTGCATTAAATGTGAGCGTTTTCTAGCTGACAGGTTTGTAGAAGGAACGTGTCCTCACCCAGGTTGTGGCTATGAAGATGCTCGGGGTGATCAGTGTGATGGTTGTGGGAAATTGATTAATGCCATGGAGCTGGTGAAACCTCGCTGTAAACTTTGCTTTAATCTACCTGAAGTCAGATCCTCGAATCATCTTTTCCTGGACCTGCCATCAATTGAGCCTTCATTGAAGTCCTGGTTAGCAACATCCTCCAAACAGTGGACTAGCAACGCTAAAGTTATATGTGACTCCTGGATAAGAGATGGTCTCAAAACCCGATGCATCACCCGTGACCTGAAATGGGGCACTGCAGTCCCAAAGGATGGCTTTAGAGATAAGGTATTCTATGTGTGGTTTGATGCTCCCATTGGCTATATTAGCATTTCTGCCTGTTATACTGATCAGTGGGAGAAGTGGTGGAAGAACCCCAGTCAAGTTCAGTACTACGAATTCATGGCTAAGGATAATGTTCCATTCCATAGTGTTGTGTTTCCTTCGACTCAGTTGGGTACTGGTGAAAACTGGACTAAAGTCACACACCTTGTAGCCACTGAATATCTAAACTACGAGGACGGTAAATTCTCAAAAAGTCGTGGTACAGGAGTATTTGGTGACCAGGTTATTGACACGGGGATTCCCAGTGATGTATGGCGATTCTACCTCTTATACCTTAGACCTGAGGTTCATGACACCGCTTTCTCTTGGGTTGATCTACAGACTAAGAACAACAGTGAACTTCTTAATAATCTGGGAAATTTTGTACATAGAGCACTTTCCTTTGTGTTTAAGTTCTTTGCATCAACTTTACCCCCAGCAAAACCTAGTGAATCTGATTATCAGGTTATGGCAGCAGTGAACCAGGAATTCCAGCAGTACACCTCCGCTCTGGCAAATAATCGTCAGCGAGATGGGCTACGATATATCCTCTCTATAACAAGGATTGGGAACCAGTACATTCAAGAGCACGAACCATACAAACTTATAAAACCAAATCGTTCAGCAGAAGACAAGGAACGAGGGGCGACAGTGACTGCAATAGCCATCAATATTGTAGCTTTAGTGTCCATAATTTTGGATCCCTATATGCCAGAGACGTCAGAACGCATCAAGGTCTTTCTGAATTTACCAACACATTTTCAGCGACTTCCCAGATTGTTTACACAGTTCCTTCCTTCTGGCCATGTCATTCAGGAACCAAAACCCCTCATCAGTTCAATTGATGATGAAGTAATTCAGAAACTCGGCAAACAGTTTGGTGGTCAAGCTTCAGCAGAGAAGAAACCTGTTGACCCGTCTGAGGTAGCACGTCTAGAAGGCTTAATCACAGAACAGGTAAGAAAATGTTTAAATAAGCTTTAATTTAGATATTTCCCAATTGCAGTATATATACTCTGTGTGGTTCTTGTGGGTGATAAGTGGGACATTCATTTGTTGTAAAATATAATTGAGAAAATCTTGAATGCATATGGAATTCAGTATTGTCATAATTATTTAGTTTGTTGTGTTTCCTAAGGTATGTGACATGATTATTTTACCCCACAGGGGAACAAGGTGCGAAAATTGAAGGAGAATGGCACGGCCAGCAAGGACGTGGTGGCCGCAGAAGTGGCAACATTAATTGCTTTGAAGGGCCAGCTAGCAGCTGCACAGGGTGTCGACCCAGCGGCTGCCAGCAGTAAGGACAAGAAAAAGAAGAAAGGAGGAGCAACAGTGAAGGCAGAACCCAGTCCTGCCAAGACACCAGCAGCTGTTCCAAATGGTCCAGTAGACGAGAATGAAGTGAACCGTTTACAAGCGTTAATCACACAGCAGGTAATAGTTATTCCAATCTTTTCATTCCTTTTCTGGACTACCTGAAGTTTGTCACCCCAGCTTATTTCACCTGAAGGTTAACCACCCCAATACTAACCTAACCTTACCTACCCAAACTTCATCAACTTAATCAGTTGAAATAAGCTAGTGTGTCTAATTCTCAGGTGGTCCTCTTTTCTTGTTATACAGTACAGTAGATACCTGGTCAGAAGTAAGACCAACACTATATACACACAATCATTTCTTTCACCATTTTCTTCACTTTTCTTCTGTACTACTCCCTTCTTTTCATCGTGTCTTACTTGCAATTTGTCTTTGTAAACCCTTCTCTTTTCCTTAACCCATAAGTGGATGTTAGCTGTAGGGACAATTCATGGTCAAATGTGTTGACCATACCCTCCTCTCATTTTCCTTTTTATTTTAGTGTACCTTCTCACCCCAGCTGTATGTTTTAAGACTACACCATTGAACTCTTGCCATTTCCTTCAACTTTCCCTTAACCATCATTAAAATGTGCCCACCTTTTCTCAGTTATTTCTTAAAATTTTCTCTTACTTTATCTTCTCTCAGCTAGTCAATTTTAAATACTGTACCCTTCTTCCCACTTCCTTCTATATATACTGTAATTGTACAGTTATGATTTCCATCTTGGTTAATTTCTGTCAACATAAGATCAAATAGATTGTGTGAAATGAACTTTGTTGGTTATAAAGATTTTCTTGTGTAGTAACTGTTCAGTAAATATATATATATATATATATATATATATATATATATATATATATATATATATATATATATATATATATATATATATATATATATATATATATATATATATATATATATATATATATATAAAATGACTTCATAAGTTTAAAGGATTTCCTGGCAATCAAATTATAAACACAGTTGTTTGTATTGCAGGGTGATAAAGTTCGTGCCATCAAAGCTAGAGGTGATGCTCCCAAGGATGAAATTGGTTCCGAGGTTGCCAAACTTTTGGATCTCAAGAAACAGTTAGCAGTAGCTCAGGGAATTGATCCGGCTACTCTCAATTCTAAAGAAAAAAAGAAAAAGAAGTAAGAGTAAATGGGAGAAGAAAGGCAGCTGTAACTCAAATGTGTGACATAAGTTACCATCATGCACAGTCAAAGACAAAAGTCGTGTTGTGAAATTTGGTGAAAACATGTGTCGAAGGGCTAAACTTTTGGTGCTCTCTGCTTTGTGGTAGGGCTCTCATAATGTCATGAGTTATATTTAATCTTCGGTCAAAACCGCGACATGACTTTTGTCTTTGACTGTACAGTCCTGTATTATCTTGTAACTTGATAAACTACACTTAGTTGTGCAGAATTTAATGCAACTACTATACTGTACACTAGAAGGGTTATAACTACTTAATGGGTAATTTTTTGTGAAGTGGATTAAATTTGGTTTAATGAGCTACTTACTTTTTTAAAGTTATAACAGGAAAAATGTACATGGAAATGAGTAGATTTTAATTAAGAGAAAAGTTTTGATTGTGAACTTCTTGTTAAGATGTTTGGACTAAAGGTTTGTTATAACCCAGGTTATTTTTTACTTTTTGAAGTAAATAATTTAAAGATTTCTAACTTACTGCTAATATATATAATGTAATTCAGGCATAGTCATTAAGTCTATAGGGTGTTGAAAAGCTCAGGTTCCCAAGACCCAAAATTTGTGACTAAAGTCTAAATCTCAAAGAAAATTTGGAAATGAAATAAACCTTCTAACTTAGTAAATTTCTCAGAAGTACACATTACTTGTCTTGGCAGTTGTCCTTAGAAATTTGAAAGTCTTTGTGCCTAGATGGCTTACATGGCAGTGAAAACTCTCACCCTTCTCCCTCTAGAGGGAACTGCCATAATAAATGTCTTCTCCTTTCCAGAAATCCAATATGGTGCAAAGTCTATCTACTTTTCAAACTTTATCTGATTTTTAGATCTCGGTCACAAGTTTTGGGAACCTGAGTTTTTTATCCTGTGTCCTTACTGACTACATGAGACAGCCAATCCTTCTTGGCTAGAAAATATGATTCTAGGATCAGTCTGTCATTTAGTATATAATACATTCCTAATGTTTAATTAAAATTCAGAGAGGCACATGTTTACCCCAGATAAAATGACAATCTGTGTTTTGGTCTAAACTAATGTGTGCCTTTGCCCTCTTCTTCCCCTCCCCTTCCTCTTTAGTTGAAATTCAGAATTTACATATGGTGCTCACTTATTTTCAGCAAAAATTTGATTTTGTTTGTGCACTTTAAATGTTAATAACCTTGTGCACAAAGTTAATTTGTTTACTGGATACTCTACTGGTGTCTGATTTTCATTCACATACCATGAAAAAGTCTAGCATGAGCTTTGTAGGAGCAGAAGGGTAAGGGAGAGGTCATTCTCTGCTCTCACAATGGCTGTTCTTATGAGAATGATAGTAGAAACATTCAGAAGATAGTCATCATTTCAAGATTCTAGGTTATATTGACCAGAATAAGTCTTAAATGTGTACCTACTGTACATTACTCTCAAATTTACCTTCAATTTAAAGATTTGCGTATACAGTGCACTGATATTTATTGACTTTCTGGTGATCTGTATGGTTTCTCACTGCCATTATCAATACCTGTGTACATAATTACTGATTTTTTTTTAAACATAACCTTTGTACTGTACAGTGAATGGTCACAGTCCTGATTAAAAGTTTTGATACTGGATTCATTTATAGATGTGCCTAGTATGTAGGGAAGAGTAGCAAAGAAAGGATTTGTTTGTGTGGGTGTGTTCTTTGAGCTATACATGTGAGTTTATGGATGTGCAGGTGGATTTATGAAGGATTTATTACTTTTTTAATGGCGTACCTAAAGAATGTGTGGTTGTGAAGACAGTCTTTATATTGTGTGTATGTGCAGTAAGTTGTTTATTTATACTGTATATATTTATATATAATATACAGTACCTGTACACATGTATTTATTTTTCTCCCTTTCTCTCTCTCTCGATAACTTTCATTCCCTAAAAATATATTTGTGTACAGTTACAAGCTGTGAATGGTTTGTGTAGTGGTTTGAATGTATTATCCTGACTAGATATGAAAAATGTACTTAATGAAGTAACCTAATTTGCCATTAGTCATTGATATATTGTCATGTTCTTGAGTTATTTGGGGAATTACCTTAATGGAATTGCTTTTACAGGGCAACAGATACGTACTGTATATCATTACATTTCATGTGCTCGATTAAAATTAATAATTATGAATGATGCTCTTTGTTTTTTCTCCTCAGTGGGCTGACATATTGTTGTGGCTCATACTGTCTGTATGTGTCTGTGATTCTGACAGTCCATTTTTATCCATTAGTTTGTCTACAAGATATCTCCAGAAAGTCTATATAGTATTCCACTTTTTATACTGTTTTATATTTATGTAAGATATCCTCATAATTAAGTAGTGCTCATTGTGCTTTTGTGAAAAAGAATTAAATTTATCTTCATAAACCACAAATAACACCAGATTATATACCACATTATCCTGGGTCAGCTAAGATGGATTGAATTGTGGTCTTAAACAATGGAAATACAATATGCTATTGGAGTCTGTGTATCCAATTACTGTAGTTACATTTCATTAAATACTAATAAACATTTCTTGCAGCCAGTGACATGTCCATGTGATTAATTCACTTGTCCTCTCAGGAATTTCATTATCATTTACATAACATGACCATAATTTTACGAAGATGTTATTTCTTGTCAATATACAGTACAGTAGTTCACATTTCCAGTTATTGATAGTGTGTGGGATGACTCAAGTTGCAAGTGTAAAGGTTATAACTGTGACCTTTATCTAAATGAAAAGTTATTAGTGCTTAATGGCCTTGTACACTAGTGAGATTATGCTAACACATTCCATTAAAGCTTTTCTTCTTTATGACATATTGTATTGAATTGAACTACTGTAATCATTTTATTTGACAGATATTTAATGCACAGTGCAATTATCTCATAAGTACTAGAACCTAAGATCTCTTTGTTCTGTATTTCTTATAATTTTCTCCATATATCTGGAATGATGGAATGAATGAACTGCTATAAGCATCTTCCAAAATCTTACTTTATCATTACCCTTTGTTCCTTCACTGTTACTTACAACCTCTCTCATTACAACTTTACTGATCAGCTCATTAGCTGCTTGGGCAGTCGATCACATCTGTTATGCACTGTTGCCAAGTACTGGGCATACTCTGGTTCCAGAATGTATCTGTACCTGTGCCAGTATCGATCAAGTCTGGTCTTCAATGAGCTCACTTGGTGCCGTCACAACGCGTTCTGGCAGATTGTTCCAAGAGTTTACAACCCTCAATCAAAGCTGTGGCCCCTAGTGAGACAGGCATTCACCAGCTCCAGGTAAAAACACTCCAATGAATAATGTCCCCTGAGGTGTTTATAAGATTTCATTAAGTTACTCCTTGCCTACCTATAGTTTAAGCTAGGCAACTGCAGGCATTCTAATTTCTCTGGGTACCTCAGGTGTTGTAGTGAAGGCACCAATCTGGTGGCATTCTTTTGGACATTTTCAATCGACTGACAGTCTCTACCATATCTCAGGAACCAGATGGGGTGACAGGACTTTAAACGGGGAAGCACCTCACTCTTGAATAGCTTCACGTGGGATGGACTTTCTAGATCTCTGAACTACCTTCCTATAAGACCTACTTGTTTAGTTGCTAGATTCACCTTCTTCTCACAATTTGGGAGAGGCAAGAATAATTAGAAATAGAAGGCAAAGCACTCAAAAGAGAAATGTTTGAAAAAATGTCAAATTGAAAGAAAATGTGGCTTGAGGAGTTATAGATATGATTGAGATAATACAGTAGTCTTATCTAAATGGGAGTACAGTTGGAGAGATGGATTACTTTAAGAATACCATTCCTAGAAAGTACAGTTGAGGTGTGTGGTCATAAGAAAATAAGAATGAAAATGAGTATGATCGGATGAGAGTCTAGTAATGCCAAGTAAAGAGAGAAAACAAATGAGAGCCATTTATAGTTAGGAGTGGGAAGATATTACAGTAGTGGTGAAAATTGTAAAAGAATGCAAAAGATGATAAGATGAAAGTTGGGGAGAAAAATAATCTACTGAAGGAAATGGACCAGCAAGTGGTGTACTGTATCCACTTAGCCACCACACCCTGTATACATACATTATACTGTACTGTACTAACTTACCACGTCCCTCTTACATAGACCTCTTAATTCTGAATACTACAAGAACTTCAAACAAAACTGCATCAAATGGTAAAAAGTCAATTCAATGCATTTTTCGTTTGTTGATTTTAAGAGTATTAATGCCAAAAGGAAAAAAGATACAGCTATAATCAAGACACCAAAACTAAACTCGAGATGTAGAGTCGAGTGAGTTTCTCGGTATGATATTAACAAACAAAACAGAAACAAAGCTCTGTAACCAGGAAACACAATGTAGTTCCAAATTTATCAAACAGTTCTATACACTAAAAAAAGGACGAGTGTGGTCTGGAAAGTTAAAAGACTGAGGTACAAATAAGACTTGTGTGTGTGTGTGTGTGTTTGTGTAGAGTGCACTGTTACCGAATGTAGCACTGCAATGCAGTACAGTACAAAACGGTACTTGAAATGGAACAGGGAGGCAGCTACAAAATATGACAAGTCTACGTTTGAGTTCATAAAGCTTAATGCTTTTCTCTGTTAGGTACCAACCAATTAGCAAATCCATATTTACTTAAGTATAGAGACTACAGTTGGTGCAGCACGTATATATCCTGAAATACAGTACGGAACCGGCAGACAGTTACCACTGCTTTTACTGTACTGACAATGTAATGTTTACAATACAGTACAGTATATATTGAATGTTTTAATATCACACATTAGAAACATCTAGTCATCAGTTTAATGTTTGCCCAGAATCTCCAAGGAATACTTAAATATGTAAGCAAGACGTTAAATTAAAATTCATGTCATGAACAAATGATCAAATCAGTGTTTTCCCAGTGAATTCAAGTACTGGACTGTTCCCTGTATCAAAAGAGAAATACTGTAGTCATTACACATTGTCCTGTTGAGCCACTGCACCTGCCACAACAACAGGCTCAAAATTGTACAGCAATATTCTCCTGATCATCCCTATGGAAAATGTACCTGTTGCTATTTTATTTAGATCCATTTATCATCGCATAATTAAAATCCACAACGTAACCAAATTAATATATCGCTTTCTAATACTTGTCACTACACTGAGATGTCTGAACATTTTAGGAATTATCTAAAGTGCATTATATCACCGAGACAGTTGTTAAATTCACCTATATATAAGAAATAAGTAATAACAGTACAAGGAGTATGTGTTTAGTGATAGCATGTAAGTGAAGCATGAGGGAGCAGGGCGAAGATAAGTCACTTCTGTTAATTTGGTTGTTGTCAAGTTGTAATTACAGTATTTCATCCACTTCTTACTGTATGTAATTTTTGGTGATTAGTTTAAAGTGGCCTACCCTCGAGAAGATAGGCTATCGCGAGATATGTATACTGGAGAGCCCAGGGGAGTTAACTCGTAACCGACTGCTCATTCACCTTTTATGACCAATTGATACCGTCGTGTTTTTTGCTGATCTGCTTCTGTTGACTCTACATATAGTCATGATGTGCTTTTTGAATTCTTGATTAAGTGGTGTTAAATGAAAAGTTACTGAAAGAGACTGTGTGGTAAACCGTTTTTCCTAATGACAAACTAATATTAATTTGTCTATTGTTATGACGATTTATAATCTTGGAGCACCTAGTTTGACAGGACAGGATCCACGGTAACTTGCTTGGGCATTACGAGCCATAATTTACGGCTGAGATTCTGTACATACTAGTGAAGGTCTTCAGTGTGTCGCTGAAGGGCCCCGTGAAGGGCCGTGAGTGACGGCGAAGTGCATTCGTTAAGTGTCAGCCAATTCGATTTTACAAACAACTTCAATCAAATCCAACGACTCTTCAGAGTAGCATCTCGGAAGATGTCAGCATTTAATCGCAAGGTAAGTTTTACTGAACGATAAATAACGTAATTTAGTAAGATGGGTAGCCACGTATTTGTTTTCGTAGGGCAAGTTGTTTAGAAAAGCATTTTTTTTTTTGGGGGGGGGGGCAATGTAAGCTGTACTGAGGTTAGTTGTGTAGCAAGGAAGGTTGTATTGGCAATTAAGGTACATACATAAACAAGGCGAATTGTGTTTCAAGGTAAATTACACCATGGTTAATATTGTCCCAAGAAAACATGTATATAGGAAGGTATAGTGTATGTTGTTTGAAAAATTGCCACATTGAGCTTCTGTAATTATAGTACTGTTACTTCAATACCCAAGGTCTTAATAGCATATGGCTAGTGTCTAACGATGTAGCTAATCTCCAGCAGGTGGACAGAAGGGCCTCCATTTGCGATATTTAGCCATGACTAATGACTGGTGGCCTGCACTGAATACAGATTAGATATATTATCGTACACTTATAAGTAGATAAACTGTGCCAGAACAAGGAGTTGTGCTCAGGGCTGCTGGGAACTGGAACATTTTGATCCCTCAGTCTTTATAAGGCACACCAGTAAATTTATTCTTTCTGTTACTCTTTAGCTATATAGAACATTCTATTTTAGTCTAGAACGTTAAGCTATAATGTCAGTGATATCATTAATATGACGTGGTTAGATATTTTATATTCTGAATAACTAACACATCCAAAACTCTATTTGCATTCTATCATTAACTTCAATAAGTTCATAGTTGTTAATGTGTAGTATTGTATTATAAAACTACAGTCATTCAGTTATGAACCATCTTAAGTAACTGTGCAAAATAAACAGTTCCAACTTACATTTGTGTGAATATATGTTATGAGAGCGAACCTAGTAAGTTAGGATTAAGTTATTCAAGGTGTCGGTGGTTTTGCCTTAAAAAGTCTGTTTAGTTTGTCTGAGGAGAGAATGGGGTGGGAAGCTGAAGGACAATACTGAACAAACTAAAGACAGCGTTTGGAAATAATATGAGGCTGTTCAGACTACCGGGTACTTGGATTTGCACCCACGCGTCACCGCTGAATGAATTCTTCGTATTTGAATACCAATAATGTTCTGATAAGGTTAAAGACAAACTGTTATCAGTAGATTTGAGAGCAAGTAAATGGTATTAAGCAATTATCAAGATAATTATTGTGTCCCTTTCCATCATAGCGGCTGTGGTAACGTGCGCTTTATTTTCTTATTTTCAAATAACAAAACTAATCAATAAAACCTTAATTACCCAGCTAACATATTGATTTTATATTGTAAGATTATTAGGCTAGCTAGGTTAGGTTTGCTTCATTTAGTTTTGCCTTGTTTGTATGACATTCACCAAAAAATAAATTTGGAAACTGTTCAAGACTGAGAATGTTCGATGAGTACAAAATTTCGTATGTGACGTTAATAAAATCAGGAACTATAATGAAATTAATTCGACAGAAATAATGATCCTCATAATTACCTAGTGTCTTTAATTTTAATTAAATAATTTATTCATTATTAGACGCGCCAGCAAGCTATATACTGTTAACTGCAGGTCGGTGCTGAGTAATGTAAGAGCAAGGTTGAAGGTTGATGAATCATGTTTGTCTCGCCTTGGCTAGTATGCTTGTTATTCATAAGTTCATTTCTTTCTCTTACAGATGATGATCCCAGATGGTGTTGTCGTACAAAAGCCTTGTGTTTGTCCTCAGCGGGAGTGGGGAGAGATATCATCAGTAAGTCACAAATGTGCAACAGTAAGAATATAAAGATTCCGGAGTTTAATTAACTTACTTTGCAAAGCACCTTTTCCGCCGGTTGCTACTACAACAATGCCAGTTTCCAAATGATTTTTGGCCGAATCTCAAACATCTTAATGGCCAGTCAGTTTTACGTCACGCGACAGTGCCAAGTTATCCCTCTTCCTCCTTAGATCCCTTCCCCCTTCCCTATAACTGCCATTACGCTCGCCAGTTTATTTATACAGGCACCCCCCCCCCCTGGCCGGACAGACGGTCGAAGGACATTTGGCCGACGGACTTTTCACCGACGGATATTTGACCGAACGGACATTGAGCCGATAGACATTTGGCCGAACGGACAATAGACCAAACGGTCAATTCTTTTTCTTTTATCCTCTTCACCACTGATTGGCTCGTTAACCGCTTGGGCGATCGGTCACGCCCCTTCTCACTGTTGGCAAGTACTGGGCATGCACCGGCTCCTGAATGTACCTGAACCTGCTCCAGTGTTGGTCAAGTCTTGTCTTGAAAGAGCCCACACTCGGTGCCGTCACAGCACTTTCTGGTAGATTGTTCCAAGAGTTCACAACTTTCACTTCGAAAAAGTTTGCTCTCACAGTTTTCTGAACTTGCGGGTTCTTCAACCTTGAGCTGTGACCCCTTGTGGGGCGAGCGTCCGCCAGCTCCAATTAAGGACACTCGACTGAGTAGTGCCCCCTGAGATGCTTATACACCTCAATTAGGTCTCCCCTTGCCCGTCTGTAGTATAAGCTAGGCAAGTTAAGGCGCTCCAATCTCTCAGGGTAGCTGCCGTGCCGAAGTGCAGGCACCAGTCTGGTGGCCCTCCATTGAACATTTTCAACCAACTGACAGTCCCTAGCATATCGCGGGGACCAGACGGGGTGACAGTACTCCAGATGGGGAATCACTTGAACGACCTTCTTATAAGACCCAATAATTTATTTGCCTGATTTACCTTCTTCTCGCAATGGCCCGAGAACTTCATACACACCTAGGTCCTTCTCACATTCAGTCTCAAATAGCAGTTTCTTCATCCCGTTGGGAGATATGATACGCCTCCTTACCGTTGGTACGCCCCAGGTGCATCCTCTTACACTTCGTGACATTGAATTTCAGCAGCCATTTCTTCGACCATTCTTGGAGCCCACAGAGGTCCTGCAGCTCTTCACAGTCCGCTTGGTTCTTGATTTCACGAAATAACTTGGCGTCATCGGCAAACATTTGTATGGAGGAGTGTACAACGTCAGGCATGCCATTTATGAAACAAATAAACAGCAGCGGGCCCAATACACTGCCCTGTGGTACCCCACTTGTGGCTTGTGACAGGTACGGATGATGATTTCTTGCCATTAATCACCACAAACACTCCTTGCGGTCATGTAGAGTCTTCTTTCCACGCTAGGACATTTCCTCGAATTCCGTACCCTTCCAGCTTGATTTTCAGCCTTTCGTGGGGTACAATGTCGAAAGCCTTGGCAAAATCTAGGTAAATTGTCGATATTACCACCCCGTTCCAGAATATTGGTCCAAATATCCAATACCTTGAGCAATTGTGTTAAGCCCCGGCATAAAACCGTGTTGGCAATCCTTTACAAAGATGTTTCGTAGTACATTGTAGATGTTCCATTGCGTCATCTCTGATAACACTAGCAGAACGGACATTTGGGCGAATGGACATATGGACTTTTTATTTTTATTTCTTCTTTGCAATGTATTTGCTTTATAAAACACAGGGTAAAAATATAACATAATTGCAATGTGATACGTTTGCATGATTGAAATTATTTTTTGCACATTTGTATAGGCTAGGTTAGGTTAGGTTAGGTTTGGCCATTTGTCCATTCTGCCATTTGTTCATTAGGCTAAATGTCCGTTCGGCCAAATGTCTGTCAGTGAAATGTCCATCGGTGAAATTTCCGTCGGTCAAACGTCTGTCGGCCAAGTGACCAGGCCCCCCCCCCCTTCGCTGTTTCTCAATCAAGTTTGCAGATGAATGTCGCTTTCCAACAAAATAATTAACTATATGGCTCCTTAGTTCATTCGATGCAGACAATTAGCTTTTAAAGATTGTCACTCATTTGAATAAGCGATTACTGTATATAATTAGAATCTACAATAATAAACGCCTGTGGTGTTGTCAGGAGACGTGCATCAACTCATACCATGGAAACCGTCAGACAGTGCTCAAGTGGCTGGCAGAAGGCGGCGACATCAACGCGACGACCAACTTGGGCTACACTTTCTTATCTGCAATTTGTGCCAACGGCAACGTGGACACCTTAACGTGGTTGCTGCAGAACAATGACCTACACTTAAATATCAAGAACCAATGGGGACAGACGCCGTTGATGGTGGCAGTTCACCGGGGCAATGAAGGGATTGTCCGTCATCTTCTCAATACAGCACTTACGGTGAGAAAATTCACATTTCGCCTCACTGAGTTTAATTATGGGGAACTGTGTCATTGGGCAAGATCAACTGTTTGCAGTTATGAGCGGAATTAAAAAAAAAACAGGTCAACCAATTTTCTGTAACTAGGTAAGAGGGTCACATACTATGACCAAGACAAAATATATATGCATAAAATACCGTAGATCGAAAGGCACAAATCACTGCTCCAAATTAACGATTCAACAGAATATAAAAAAAGGGAACATTTGTTTTCTCTAGGAGTAATACAATTGACTATAAGCTTGATATTCATGATTAATTGAAAGTGATTAACCACTTTCTTCTGCCCCAAATTCTGTTCTTCCTTTAACCTCAACTTTTACTTTGGCTTTTTCCAAAATTAGCAGATTGTTCTCAAGCCAACAATCATTTTGCCTGTACGAAAGCCTCCTCCACACACGCACACACACACAAAGGAAAAATAATCACGATGGCAAGTAAAGTATAATAACACAAATAACTTGCTCTTGAATTAACATAAAAACGTTAACTAAATCTTAAAATATGAATTAAAACATGAAGATACCTAGCAGTAAATTATATCATTATACATCATAAGATAGTTTCACTTATCATTACAGCTCCAGCGATCACAGCAGGCATCACATGACAACAACAGAACATGGAAGGCAATAGAAGCCTCGCTTTTTATTTTTTACACAAATAAGTCACTTTTCGGTGCCACAAACTTGTGCATCATTACCAACAGTGAAAACCTTAAGGAAATTCGTCCTCCTTGGAGCATTAACCAGCTTGTAGCGCTGCCACATTCATTTTAATCAGACACCTCAATATTTACGCAGTACCGTTATCGAATCGACTATCATATGTTTAGATATGACCCAGATAAGTGACACAAACAGTAAGATGACACCACAGCCACTAAGTCTGGTATATTTCATATAACTTTTACTGGAGTATTTTAAGGAGACCTGTACATCGTTATAAATGTTGTCCAGACACCATCCTGCTCAGAGACACACGACATTAAGTGGTGGTTAGTGAGGACACGCAAAACAGTCACCACTAAGTCATCTCCATTAATTAACTGTACTAATGAGAATTCTTTCTGCATCAACTAAAGTTGGTTTAATTCTAATAATATTCAAGTCAATAACATGGTAGAGGATGGTGAGCCAGGTGAGTTAGCCACCCGGCCCATTGAGTCACATCTGAAGACTTGAACGTCTCTGAGGCAGATTACCATGAAATTGGGTCTCTAGACATGACTGCCCGTTAGGGCATGGCCGGTACTGCACTCGATCGCATTCACTTCCCCAAGTTTCTATTGACTAACTACTCTACATGACGGTCCCTGCGGCCTGAGTGTAAAACATTTTAAACTTTCGAGAACATTAGAAAATACCGTGACGTACATGTGTGTGGTTTTTATATGATTTGATTAATTTATCTACTGTATTTACTTATTTACATACGGTATTTATTTATTTATTATCAGTGCAAAATCGACTTAACTGTGCTGGATAAGAATAACATGACCGCCCTGGGGTTGGCTGCACAAGAGAAGAATTGGGTTGTCGTGGACCTTCTGCTGCAGCCAGACATTCGCTATGACATGGAAACCCTCGACTTAACATTGTTCAAGGCAGCGGAGTGTGAGAAGTGGAAAGTGGTCGGCTACCTCCTCGACCAATACAGGGGGTTCGAGGAAGAAACCATCAGCCTAGTTCTTGAGAAAGCTTCCGCCAAGAACAGCATCAGGGTGAGTCATGTTGTACACACCGTCACCAGTGTAGCACGTTATTATTATTATTATTATTATTATTATTATTATTATTATTATTATTATTATTATTATTTTACGGGGATTAGCCCACCCGGGCACAGGTCACTGACCCCCATCGGGGCCTGGGGAGCGAAAACGTAATAATAATAAAAATAATAAATCATAGTAAATAAAATTTATAATAAAAAAATGCTGCATAGTATTACTGAGATAGATAGATAAATATCGTTATGCAGTGTATACAGTACATAGAGTTGGTATACAAACAATGGTAAACAGTGAAGCATCTCTCAAACGGGCGTTTTTGTTTTTGTCATTCGACTTAAAATTCAATATAGTTCAATGGACGTCCGTGTGAAAGGTCCCACTGAGCTCCTTAATTTGAATATGTGGTCGTGCGGCAAAAAAAAAAAAAAACGCTCGCGTGAGAGGCCCAAGTCGATTCAATTAAGGATAACTCAACCAAGCCACTATAGGCAAATTTCTAGTTCTTAAGTTTGTCAATACTAGAGTATGAATGTCCCGGACACATCAATACACATTTCCTATCTTCCTTGTGTATTACAGAATTTGGGTAAATAAACAATGAAAATTATTTTTATTTTATTTTATGGCATTAGAGAAAACCGACGTAAATAAACTGTCTTATAAATGAGTTTAAATGTGGGACTGAAATGACTTAATTGAATGACTTTAAAGGTGTTACCATTGTATTAAAGAACCCAACCGAGTATCACTCTGATTAAATGGCTAATAATAATAATAATAATAATAATAGTAATAATATTAATAATAATAATAAAAGGTCATTTGCGAGGGGAAACGTCCTAGAAGAAACTTGCAGATCAAGCACCTTTTCCCCATCCTTAATTGCAGTAAGGCACTAACACTCACCATATTCAACCAAATCCCTCCCATTACAGACATTAGACACCGATGTAAAAACATATTCATATTAACACCACACAGCAACTTTTACGGCTGACGTTTGTTTAAATCCGGTACTGAGGGTGAACGCCAGACCGTGAGCTGTTTCAAGATCCAGTACTTGCCAACAGTGCGTAACAGAGACGTGACCGACCGCCCAAGCGGCTAACGAGCCGATCAGTGGCGAAGAGGATAAAAGTAAAGTAAAACGTAAAAGTGGGTAAAACAGAGGCTCAGGGATGTGGCCACAATTAGATGTTTAAGACATCATCTCCTCGTGTCAGTATTCTCATATTTATGTTTATGTAGTATGTGTTAACTTATTGTCTTTTACTTATGGTAGTTAATATAAACTGAGTTTCTAGGCGATACTGATCAAATAGTTGTTGAGGCGTTGTTCTTATGGTGTTTGTTGGAGGTACAGTACAGACTTGTGTTACTGTAGTGGTGACGGACACAATTTAGTTATCGAGAATCACGAAATTTTGTACACAATATTACATAGACGGTAAAGGTAAAGGTAGGAGGTTAAACTCAGTCTGGGTTAGAAATAATGGTAGGGCACTTTATGGCTGTCACAAGCAGTTGTGAACCTGATGAACGTTAATAATAACAATAATTCCATATTTAGGTTCATTTTACAAAGCATTACACCATTAAGATTGTTGTTGCACCACTGCACAATTATGATGTACGAATGATAACAGTGAGTAGTCTTCAACTGGACAAATGGTTATATAGTAGCAAAGGAAACAGAGGGCCTGCAGAGAGACCCTGTGTTTTTTTTTTTTTTACTACCATACAACCAATGAAAACACTGCAGTCTATATTCAGGTGTGTCAGCCATTTGTATTGTGTGAGATCTTCCCAGGTGTAAATAAATATACGTTATAAAACTTATGTATAACCTGACTATCCTGGCTGTGACAGGCGGTGCGGATAGTGCTGGAGAAACACCAGTCGTGCACTTACGAGAACCTCAGTGTGGCCCGCACCGCCGCTCACCAGGCCGGCTACCCTGATGTAGAGAGACTCCTCGACGAGGCCCTCGGCAAATACATCTTAAAAATGAGACGAAACCCTCGGCCAAAAGGAATCATCGTCCCCGCCAAGGTAAAGCTGTGAAGGTATTACTTCTTAAGCTTGAGACCGTCAGTATAGATTATTTGAAAAGCGTAATTTATTATTATTATATGTAGAAACGAGCACAAGGGTGTTGTGTACCAGTATTTACACTATAGTGTAATATTAGTTTCGAGGGGCAGCAGCCGAGAGGATATAAGGTTTTCTTACCGCGGAAGACCCACAAAATTTTCATTCCGTATCCACATCTAGAAGATGTGGATGTTGCGGATATGTAGAGTTTATGATGTTTATAATATATGTATAATAAAAAAAATATTTTATTACACACACACACACACACGCACACACACACACAAATACACACACACACACACACACACACACACACACACAAGTGATATACAAAAGTGACAATTTCAACTCGAAAGAAAGAAACAACTGTTAGAGTGACTATCAGTGCTTAGCGGTCAATGTTGACCGGACGCGGACCTGACCCACCCAGGGTCCACCGTACACTCGCCACCCCCAACACTGGATGAGAAGCCAAGAAAGACTCTAAACTACACCAGGAGAGAAATGAGGTCTCCCTACTCCACCCAGGTGAGGATCTATGAATTCCTAACTACATCACATGAGGAACAAGAACCATCTCCAACACCCTGTGTGAGCTGAAGGACCTACTCGGTCTGCAGCTGTAGTGAGGTAGCGGATTGGCACCCATTTTTTTTTATTGGGAACTCCCCTACATCCTTGTGTAAGGTAAAGCGCAGAAGCGTTTACAGCGCCCAACAGGGAAGCATGCTAAGTTCATGCTTGCCTTTATGTCTCACGAGTTAAGAGCACAGAAGCAACGCAACGGCCATCCAGTGAGGTCACAAGAATGTCTACAGGCCAGTTCCCACAATACCAAACCTACAGTTAATCTATATGTTGACTGTTTCTTATGTTTTTGTATTGAAAGATTTTGTCAGTCAAGGGATCCATCCCGATTCCATCATATGTAACCTATCACCTCTGTTCATTGTATATTTTCGAGTGTAGGACAAAAGCCCCCAGGACAAAAGCCCCCAGGAAAAAAGCCCACTAGGACAAAAGTCCCCCAGGAGAAATAATATGAAATTTTAAAATAATTATTTTATTTTTTATACTTTATGAACACTTCTCTAACCTAACCTAACCTATCCTTCGTGAATTATGTTGTAGTTATAAAGAAGTATACAATGAATGTTTATTAAATCTGCAATTACGTATGTTTGGTCTACTGGGGTAATTACTCCCCTGACATTCAGTGACCTCACTGGGCCCTCGGGTCACCTCAGTAAATACAGAATGAACATGAAGGTAAAATATGTCGTCTTTTTCTTTTCTCTTTATTTAATAATGTCCTATATCAAAATTGAAAGAGTTATAATATTCTATTTATTTAAATAAAAACAGGGGGCTTCTGTCCTATTTTGCACTTTTACTGAGGGGCTTTTGTCCGTGCCCCATATTTTCAGCCTTCAGGCTGCCATGTTATCTTAATAAACCGTTAATTATTATTATTATTTATTCTTACACACACACACACCTGCATAAAAACACCCATGACTCTCAAAGCTGTTTTGAGATATTAGGAGAATTACCTCGTGTTCCCTTTATTTATTGCAAAAAAAATTTACTTATTTTAGGATTATATATTTTTTTAATCTCTGTTAGCGCTCATGTGTGTGTGTGTGTGTGCGTCAAGTTGTAGACAAACCTGATAGTATAATGATGATGTAGATGAGTATAATGTTATGACTACAGTAGTGACATAATGATAGCTATGATGACATGATAACATTGATGACGTGATAATAATTTTGACATGATAACAATGATAATGATGTAATACTATGAACTGCGTGTTTTACCTTCAGGTTGCTGACGACAGGAGGTTGGGAATGACTGACATTGGAGGTTACTTAACACCAACACCTGGTAGAGCTCCTCAGGTGAGAGAGGCAGTCGGGGGGTGAAGCTAACATTAAGGCCACTATACATGTGTAGACGTGACCCGTACATACTAGTGATAGACCTGATGGTAGATTTTTGACATGATAACAATGATAATGGCGTGAGATGACAACAGTGATGACGTGCTGACAACAGTGATAATGACGTAATAGCAATAATGATTACGTGATAAAAATGATAATTACGTGATAACAATAATTATGATGTGTTGACAATAATGAGGGCGTTAACGATAATAAGAATATGGCATCAGTGATGACGTAAAGACAATAATGATGACGTGTTTTATCTTCAGGTTGCTGATGGCAGGAGGCTGGAAATAACTGGCACTGAAAGTTACTTAAGGCCAACACCTGGTAGAGTACCTCAGGTGAGTCTGGGGTGAGGGGCAGTCAAGTGAGTGTTTACTAAGGGTATCAAGTCCGACTGGCTCACCGGCCAGTGTGTGTGTGTGTGTGATAAAATATTTATATAGTATATAAGTATTTGTATTATATAAATGTTATAAAAATCTTAAACTCTACAAATCTGCAACATCCTACATCCATCATTAATACATACATACAATACATACAAATCAATGTATCTCTGACTGAGGAGGCTAATCTTTATATATACGAATGCTTTTCAAAGCATGAGTTGCAGATAATACAGCAGAGGATCAGTGTGAAGGTGTCAAGCACCGTGATGTCTCCCGCCCCTGACGTGTACGACACAACCACCATCCCACGGGGCCTCGTCCTTATCCTTAACTATAATAATTTCGAAGGTCGTCCAAACCAGAAGAGAAATGGCTCCACCCAAGATGTGAAGAACCTACTGAACCTGTGCGACCAAATGGGCTACTTAACTGAGGTTCACACTAACCTCACAAAGGAACGAACAATCCAGATAGTGGAGAGTTTTAGTCGACAAGACCGTTTGAATGACGTTGGCTGTGCCATCGTCACCATCATGAGTCATGGGTTCAGCAGGCACACCTTCCTGGCCTCGGACATGCAGCACATCGAGGTCCCTCAAATACAAAACTACTTTCTGGAGAACGTGTGTCCCGCCCTCAAGAACAAGCCTAAGATCTTCCTCCTGAACTTCTGCCGGGGCGATGACACCCCTGCCATATACGACAGTGATTCTATAAGGGAACAACCCAGAAATATGTTATGTATCTACTCCACCACCGAGAACTTCAGATCCTACCGTGACACGGAGCGAGGGTGTCCCTTCATCTTCAATCTGTGTGAGGTTATCGCTGATCATGCCTACGAGATGGATCTTGACGATTTAATCCGCAAGTTTCAAAAAGTTTATCACTCCAGCTCTACGCCAGAGGTACAGAACCTTGGTTTCCACAAAAAGTTTTATTTTAATCCAATAGGCTCCGCTCATTCTTCGACTTAGGACCTGTCCACACGCTGCAATAACCCTGGCAAATTATAATACTAAATGAACCTCTGTACAAGCAATCAGTTACTGATAAATTTTCTTGTCACATACATTTATAACGATTCGTTAAATATCAGTGACAGGAAGTGTATAAGGATTCAAAAACATTTGCTTGCTGTGTGGGAACGTCTTTTAGATATTTTATTTGCCTGAGTATATGTAAGTTTTAAACTGAAACGACATTGACAGCTTTACTCCTTGAAGTTCCTCGGCACCTCCGGAATGTTTGTTGCAATGCACATTACAGTGACCCAAGTTCGAAACCCGACACTGGGTCAGATGTGAGACTGTATTATCTAGTGTGACCCTCACTACCAAACACCGCTTAAGAATCTGTGTGATGGATTTTAGTGCGTTTTTTCCCAGCTGAAAAGAGATGCTCCGCTCCCTCCTCAAGAGTTACAGCTGGTTGTCTGTTGCAAATCTGTCCGATTTCGTCCTGCAGTAATGATGTATTTCTAAATGAGTTTATTCATAATCGTTGGGATGACCGTTTCTGACGAGAAATATATTTAGCTAAATTATATAAAGATACAAACATTCATTATTTCAAACAGGAGCATGTACAGTAGGAAGCTTATCAAAAATCTTATACATAAATTTACTGTTAAACTCTGGTAGCAAATTCACACTTTTAGAGGACACATGTAATATATACTTATATTTACCCACAATAAGGCACACTAAGACAAATTACATAACAGTAATACTACATTATGCAAAAACTAACTTTTCAAAAGATTACATTAAAAGTTTTACACTGCCCCTGAAAGTTGGTGGATGAGTGTGACAGACTTGGCCGCTCGAGCGAACAGCCGTCACAGAGGCGGGAAATAGTAGTACAGTAGTACAGTATTACTGATACGTAATTTGTGTTATTATGCCTTATTGTAGGTAAATATAAGTATATATTAAATGCTTCCTCCAAAAGTGTGAATTTGCTACCAGAGTTTAACAGTTAATTCCTGTATAAGATTTCTGATAAACTTCCTACATGCTCATGTTTGAAATAATGAATGTTTGTATCTTTATATAATTTAGCTAAATATATTTCTCGTCAAAAGCGGTCATCCCAACGATTATGAATAAACTCATTTAGAAATACATCATTACTGCAGGACGAAATCGGACAGATTTGCAACAGCCAATCAGCTGTAACTCTTGAGGAGGGGGCGGGGCATCTCTTCTGCTGGGAAAAAAACGCACTATAGTCACAGTGCCAGGTAGCAGAATGGTGGAAGTGTACCGGCGGCATACACCAAGACCAGGCGAAACTTACGGGAGGTACTCACCGTCAACAGTGTTGTTACCGAGTGACACCTGGCAAGGTACCCAGAGTAGTGTTTATAAGGGGATAGTTGGGTATAGGAGAGTATTTCCTGTACGGGGGCAGTGAACGGTTAATGTGGCTGAAACCGTAGTGAGTGCAATTGGGTCAACAGTGATGGTTGTCTTGAGAGCTGTGTTTGGTGGACAAGAACAAGAGGTACACCAAGGAGTTGCCGAGCAGTAAGTTGTATAGTTGAATCAAAGTTTAGTTCTGTGATTAAATAGACTGTAAGGTTGTAAATAAAGAGAGTAATATTATTCGCTCTTCAGCTAACAATATTGTGCAGTATTATCGAAAGCTGTGGGATCAATGCATGAATGAGTGGCCATGAGTGTATGAGATGTGGTGAATGGATATATTAGTGTTAATTTTGTGAAGTTTCATTCTGTGTTTAAGATGCCAGTGATATAATAAATCAGTGTACAGCTACCAGTTTTTATTCAAACCTTGCAGGAATTCAGTTGACTAGCATAAATTGTCTCTTTAATTGGTAATTTTAGTACATTAACGAAACAGTAGTATTATAGCACTGTTCATCACTGAACTACCATAGGCATATGTTAATAAAGCCTTTTCGTTTATTAGTTTCGTAATTCTTTCAATAATGTAAATGTTTCACTTACATAATGACTTATTACTTAAGTTATCACAACGGACTATTTACTAGCATGTTCGATGTTTCCTGCTGGCTATCCTGCAGCACTCCTCATGCATCCATCTTTACCTGCAGACACAGATGACTTACTGGCCCTAGTGATGTTTATGCAAGTCTATCTGCAGCAGTACATCTTAATTACTATGGTAACACTCCACAATATCACCCTGTAAGGATAGCAGAGTTTCCACCCCAGTAGCTGTATGTCTTCACTAGTGGAGCAGCAGAAGGATGAGGTGTAGCTTTAAGTAGAGACTCTTGGGTGCTGGGGTAAAATTGTTCAGTCATAAGTTTCCTACTCGGTTAAACTTTGTTACCTGTTTCAGTGCTCATATGAGGAGTGATGTACATTAGCTAAAACAACTATCTGTGCGTACTTTGTGGGAAACAATATGAGACCATGGACGAAAAATTTTGGTATATGAGGGCTGTCACTTGTCACACGTAAAATTTCGGAGCATTCGACTCCCTCCTGCACAGATAGTTGTAGCTGTACAGTAATAGTTTTATCATTGTTTTTGTAACTTTTGTTTACACTAAAAAAATGGAATAAGGTAAAGGCAACAGAAAATGGCGGAGTGGGAGAAGAAAATACCCATAATTATGCCGTCGTGAGAACTATCCTAATTTTCTATAAAAGATCTTTAGAATCTTTTTTGTAGACTGCGGGTCTTCTGAACCTAACTAGTGTCAGGTGTACCTTTATACATAATCAGAAAAGTGTCCATCGTGTATGTTTTCCATTTATCTCTAGTCCAACTGTTGCCTGGCGCCTCCAAATGGCAGTTCAGAGTGAAAATGATACAATTAGGCATACTATTTTCTTGATTTATTCAGTACAAATAAAATATTCAGTAACATTAATGCAGTGCATTATTAGTCGTAAAATAATCTCTATCTCGATTATATACACCTTCCAATATGTTAAGTACACGATATAAATGTCAGTAAAGATGAAACCAGTTCTTAAATAAATTACGAATAGCCAAGATATAACTGAAACGCGACCATTTGGCTACTTTAGGGTAGAACTTGGACAACACATCTCACATGCTCAACGGTCCAGTGTGTGAACTACTATTATTACTACTGCTGATGTGTGAGGAAAGTCTTACACCATACCACCTCCAGTAGGAATACCAGGGCAGCTCCTCCCACGCCTGTGTGATATAATGATGATGAAAGTATTAATGATCACGTCATAATGAAAATGCTCTTATGATTTACGATACGATAACCGTGATGTTAATATTGAGTGATATTGATTATAAATGCGAATAATAATAATAATAATAATATAATAATAATAATAGAAAGCAAACAAAAGCATAATTAATTACTGAAAATTCCCGGTGCCTCTATAGCGTTCGGTCTACCGGGACATTACAGCTGTACACTATAGCGTGTGGTCGCCCTGGGAAATCTACACTGCAGGCTGCAATTTAGTTTTGTTATATAGTATTATTTATTATATAGTAGAGTTTTATGATAAAAAGCAAAATAGTGATAAATAATTTTTAATGATCATCATATAAACAAAACATAAAAATGTTGAATAATAGCATATTCTTTGTAAATGATAAACCTAACCTAACCCCCTTTTATAAGGTTGGTTAGGGCCCTGGTGTTCAGGCAGTCAGTTCCGTAAACTACGGATATTGCAGTAGACGGCACGCTATAGTTGCACCAAATTCCATTTTATTAAATGTATACAGAAATCAAACTATGGTTCATCAACTCACCACACCTTGCACACCTCGCCACACCCTACACACCTGCAGCCAGTATAGCGAAGACTCCCCACATTTGCTGGACAGAGAGGGGGGTGGGTGGCAGCTGCCCCTCCTCTTGACCAGGAGGCAGACTACAAACTGTCCCGTTGTTGACAAGACTTTTCACCAGCTGTTTCACCCATCCTCGCTCTTGCAACTGTCTCAACCTGTACCAACGACTCGAGTCAACCTGCCTGACTATATCTCACATGAGCGCCCTTTATCAGAATGAATATATACATAAATGATTATCCTTGCTCATCGATTTACTTTTTTTCATTGTTTGTATACCTGTACTGTGTGTGTGTGACGTGAGAGAGAGAAATATATGGACACAGAGAGATAGAATGTGACATACCAGAAGGTGATCTGCGGTGTGAGCGGCGAACGCCTTTGTAGGACCAAGGTGTAAGAGTGGGTGACGATGTTCTCTCTCGGGCTGTAGAAGTCGCACCTCCCGGACACTGAGAAGCTCTTAGCTACCATCATGTCCCCTGCCAGTACGTCACACAGACCTGCATACATCGTTACACAGCACGTCACAAACATATCGTCATACAGACACACCGTCACACAACGTCACGGGAACACACTACCACAGCACGTCATACAAACACATCGTCACACATTATGTCACACAACAAATCACAAACACACCGTCACACATCACTTTCGTTCCCATGCGTGTGTGCATGTGTGTTTGTTTTCAATTCTCATTCACAGTCTTTAAAATTCCTGTCACTTCGACTTACCAGCAAACTCGCCCTGAGCAATTTCTGTCCGAGAGGCGTAGCAGTCGGGGAAGAGGCCCTCACTCCCCTTCAGCAGTTTCTTGTACATCTTCACGTCAGCTGTCTGGGCCCAGGAGGTCACGCACAGTGGGCGAAGGTGGTCCAGTTCAGGTTTAACTCAAAATAACGATCAAAATAAAGATCAAAGAGTAAATAATTTTCACTTCTGGGTGCAGGGTTTCGAGCCCGGGCAACCACAGTTGATAGTCAGGCAGTAATCCACTTAACTACGATGGGCAAAAAATTAGTCTATCTTAGTTGATTGAGGTGAGTAGTTAAAGTATAGTGATAATCAAGGGATTATGCTATCGTACTGAAAGTGTTAAGCCATCGTTCTCAAGGGGTTATTGTATAAATTAAGTAAAATACAGCTACTAATTGCAGACTCCTCGGTAGCTCCTCTGTAAAGTATCCCATTCAGTGAGGCAGCCCCCCCCCCACCCCCAGCGAAGGTGTTATAACAGGTATTCGTGTACGAGTTATGATATATTTCTCTGTACATCGTAGGAGACATTAAAACGTGATTTGGTGTTGTCTACTGCACTTGCACCCTCCTCCTGTATTCGCTGACTAGATTTTTATTTCATCTCCGTCCTCAACCTTTTACAGTGCTGCTGGCCTAAAATATTCTTCCCTCCCACCTACTCCTTCCCCTAGTATCCCTCCCCTTCTGCTGCTACCCTTCCTCTGCCTTGTTTACTTCTCATTCTACCCTAAGTGTGGCTGCGTGATGCACCAACCTTGAAGGTGTGGAGAATTATGCCTCCTTGTTCCAGCCGCCAGGGGATGTCGTCTTGGGACACGAGTTGCTCCACAGATTTGATCGGGATGGCGACGCGCGGCACAGTGAGGGTGGCTACCAGGGCGCCACTATATGTGCTCATCAACACCAGCGTCATCAAGGACCACAAACCCATTAGCCAACGACTCACACCTCTCTCGCTCCACCTCATCGCTGCCCACACACTCAAGGTTAGTTAGTGCCGGTAACACCACCACCTTACACTTATGATATTGATTTCTAACGTCATACAGAAGATATTTCAAAGGCCATGGATGAGACGAATAGATAAGCAGCTCTGAAAGAAGTCGTCAGATAACCTAGGAGAAGTTTTGCAAATGAAATGTGTAGACTTGTTATTTGATGGCTCGAGGAGGACTATCCATGTGTGTGTGTGTGTGTGTGTGTGTGTGCTACCAAAACTGGCCAAAACAATCCGTCTTACACGTTAGGATGGCTTAGTATGAAAGGTGATATGGCTCATCACTACCACTCAGTTGTGCACTCACACTCGAGCATGAGGGCCCCCCAGACGTGCAGGAGGACGAGGAAGAGTGTGGAGGGGTGAGTGTTCTGCCGCGAGCTCTCCGTCTTGGCTGCCAACCATAACGCCACAGTCACCACTCCTGCACAAACGAACACCATCGTCCACACCTGCAACGTAAAACACACCTGTGATAATGATGCACTAATGCCGCGTTTGATCTACACGCCACCGTCCTCTACACCTTCCAACGTTACCCCCATCTGTATCGCCCCCCACTCCTGTATTGTAATTTGTGCAATTAAAGTGAGCGATGCCTACACCGCCGTCCTAGTGCAACACAGGGCACATCGTTCCCTTGACACACCTGCGACATAATCAAAACATTGGCGGGGTGTCACCTGCCTCACGTCACCTGTAAAACTTATCTTCCAAGGCTTAAAGTGACTTACTGTTCACTGACTCACTTTGTATCTTGCTTTCTTTGATGATAGTAAATAACCAATGACCAACAAACGGATGGAGTAAACGAACCAATGGGTGGTAGAGCCTGACGAAGTCGCTGACGTCGGGGAAGCCCCTGGGTCTGGGCAAGTAAACACGGTGAGGCAACACGAAGATGGCAGCAGGAAATTCCGCTACTTTGGTACGTGGATACGATATGGCGAAGGGTCCAAGCGCCATATCCACCTCCTGCCATGAATAAGCTGTGGTTAGAGTCGGAATCGAGAAGAATAATTCAAGAACAGTATCATGGGATTTATTCTCAGGTATCAGTAGAGGTGTAAAGTGCAGGTACAACAATTTCTGATCACTTGAAGATTAGACACCTTTGGTTTATTTCACCAGAAGGTAAACAGCCTTGACGCTAACTTGACCAAATTTAAACCAAACCTAACCACCAGGAGACCCACCTGCCGTTGGATCATGCCCAACATGCCATTCCAGGAGCCATTGGGAAGTTCCACCCCCCAGAGACCATCAGGAGGCCTCACGATCCTGAACCTGAGGAATGAAAGATGGCGTCATTTACTACTACTACTACTACTCTTACTACTATTACTACTACAACACACACACACACACACACCTGAGGTCCATCTTCGACGTGATCATCAGTAATAAGTCCCACATAATGCCGGAATAGACTGGCCTCCCGGTTAGTCCCTCACTGATCAGGAAATATGGCTGCCACTGAGTGTGAGAGACGGGGGCGGGGAGTTAGGTTAGAATAGGTTAGGTTATATTATATCAGGTTAAGTTAGATTAGATTAAGCTAAATTAAATAAGATTAGATTAGATTATGTTAGCTCAGCGTTTAGGTGGTTAATCAGAAGCTTGGAGAAGGGGAGTGGGGAGTTAATCGTGACGTGAGACCTACACTTTACGTCTGATAAACAATAAATCATTCATTATCGCCATGGGTATGAGACTAAAGACAATTAGCTACAAAAACAAGGTCTCATGGTGTTGACACTAACGTCACTTTATTCAAGGAAACCAGAAGTTGTTATCAATAACAAATTCTCTTCGATCACTTGTTTCTCTGAGGTAATGAATTTTTTCTACACTTGTCTCACTGCACGGCGGGATCATGTCTACAGCTGAGGGATCATGTCTACAGGGGCTAAGGGTATGTATATAGCTAACACTGTAAACACAACCAATAAAATTCAGGGAAGAAAAAAAGACATCTATGAACTTGTCCTTTGTGTCATATACAAAATCATTGACATAATCTGCCAATCGTATGTTTTATATTACACTACCTATGCTACAGCCTCCGAAAGCCTAATAATAATAATAATAATAATAATAATAATAATAATAATAATAATAATAATAATATATCAGCGGAGAGGCAAATCACCCTAACTTAAAGGTTAAAATAAAGTATATTGCCTTACTATGCCGTCATATTTACGCAAAACTGTATCTAAGAATGTCTTTTTGTCTCCCCAAACTGGAAGCAAGACGCATAGCTACAAAATGAAATAAATGTGTGTGATGGTACTGGACGTGTGAAGTTCCCTGGAAGTTTCAGCATAAACGACAAAGAAGTGAGCAAATAACCTCTGATTGTCACTGCTGGAAAGAAATTATGAAAAATCAAAGACGGAGAAACGGCTAAATACAATATCTTGTTGAAAGAAATACAGTATGTCTAATACCGTTTCTGCCGCAATTGTAATTACAGCGCGGTTATCCTCATTCTCGTTCATCCTCGCTGGCTTAACTTCAGCTTCTATTGATGCTAGTCCTCTTGCTTCTGTTCCTCTTGTTGATACTCTTGAAACCAGATTCCCTCGTACCTGCTCTCCGTCTGTACCTGAAGGTGTGCACAGCGTCACCTGAACGAGCGTCAGCGCCACCAGCAGCACTAGTCCCATCACGCCTGCAACACACACTAATACCTTACTAATACTGTGAGCAGCAGTGAGTGAATAATTTACAACTGTTATTATACGATTCTAGGGACTCAAGTGTACAGTTGCGTGTAAGAAGACACTAAATTGTGTGATGGTGTGGCGACTTTGATTTGATGAGCTTGTGTAAAACTTATTGTTTAGGGTTACGGGAAGACAGCGAGACTCCTATACTCTTCAGTGCGTGATAATAGTACAATCTAAATACAAAGTGATTTGGATAAATGGTTACAGAAATAAATATATCATAAGTTTATCTCCACCTTGCATCGGTAAGCTAATTTTTGGGGATATTCTTAACATCATGAGGATAATATTTTATAATACCACAAACTTTTTTTATCCTCTTCACCACTTATCAGCTCGTTAGCCGCTTGGGCGATCGGTCACGTCTCTGTTACGCACTGTTGGCAAGTACTGGGCATGCACCGGCTCCTGAATGTACTTGAACCTGCAGATAGACAGACTAAGATGTTTGTTACATTCTTCTCTTTTCCTTTCAATAGAACAATATGAGTATAGAAAATGCTTTAAGGGATTGTGGATCTTATGATTAATGCTGCACTGAATATGTATTGTATGTTTAACTCCATTACTCCCTGTGTATCAAGAATGTACTGTATACCATAACAGGAATTTCAGTAAAAAGTTTTAGATAATATTCTGTGTATAGATAATCTTGTGGGTAAAGAAGTTCGCATTAATTTGGTATATAAAAAAACATATTTATCACCGACTCCATTGATTATAACTCATGTTGCGCTGACGGGATCACAACACAATACTGTATATGAGTGCTTCTTTTGGCCAGGGAAGGTCTTTTTATTTTAAGGTGTAAGATATGTCTCTGTTGGTCTCTTCATTCACTTGTTGTAGGTTATAAAAATAGATATGAAGAGGGACTTTCAATTTCTCAAGTGGGCTTATTCACCTATAGAGTAGGAAGCCTGTAGATTGTGTTGTTGCCTTGGTAATGTTTCTGATATTATTGCATATATTATGCTTCTATTAGATTTTTTATTTTTATTTTTTGCTGTTACGGGTTTCACTTAAATGCCAAACAAACTCACATCAACTATCAGATTAGCAATGACAGTTACTACCGCTTTATCAGTTAGTTGGTATTTCTTTATGGTTCTTTGTTACTCTTATTATTATCATTATTATTTTACTATTTATATATTTATTTATTAATATTTTGTATAAATTTTATTTACAGTACAATGAATTATAATTATTATTATTATTATTATTATTATTATTATTATTATTATTATTATAATTATTATTATTATTATTATTATTATTATTACATTACATTTTCGCCCCCCAGGCCCCGATGTGGGTCAGAGACCTGTGCCCTGGTGGGCTAATCCTTGTAAAAAAAAAATGGTAGTTTGACAGTCGTTGGAATAACTCTCAGATACTTCACATGTTCCTCCCAAATGTTGGGATTCCACGACCAGCTACCAGTCACTGTGTTCATTAATAGTTGAAACGTGGCAAGTGTGTTTATTAGGCTGTACGATATCACACAATACTATTATTATACTAAGGGTCTCTGTAAGAGTCAAGCCTTTTTGTTACTATCTCTTTAATGGAGAATACTGTACTAAAGTCTGAATGAAAGACTTATGAATCGAATCCCGAGGAAGTGAGAGTAGGAAGACAAGTTAAAAAAAACAATCTTGATCCTGCTATACAGATAAACACTTAGCTGTTTTGTTACCCATCCTCAGTACCTACAACAACTGTCATCTCTAGCCACATATCTTTTCATCTTGCCAACTGGTCCGTTATTATAGAATGTAAACACAGTGATTAAAAATATCCTGAACTACCCAGTGATGCTGAGATGTAAGTCACGAGAAAATACAAGATAGATATAATAACCTCTACCCAGTACTGACCAGCAGGACGTCCTCCAGTGATGTGATATCTGCCACTCACTGTCACTCACCTGGGCGTCCAGAAGTGGCCTGACCACCTTACACACACACACTCACACCTGATGTCTGGTCTCTTTGATAGGTCGTGACTGTTTCATTAAATATAAACTCCTTACCGGCCAGAAACATTGAAAAGATGTGCGACTGATTCCATAATAAAATGTTGAATATCTATTGAAGTTCATGTTGAAATATATATGTATATAGAGAGTCAGGTAGATACTGAAAAGAGCCATTGTGACAGACGCAACCCACAGCATCACGGCGTTAGGGCAAAGGTGGTATATTCTTCAGGCTGTCATGTCAGGTAAGTAGAGTTGCGAGGAGTGTTTACCGCCCATTTGTTTATTCTTGCACAAATAAACATAAATATTTAGCACAACTTAACCAGTCATGTAGTTAAGTGTTTTACTGATATAAACAAAAAATTCTACCACTTATTTTCAAGAATTGCTTTACATTCATCTCGACAAGAGGGGCAGGTAATTCACTGGTGTTTGACGTTGTGTTATAAAACCAATAAAAAAAATTATCAACTCCAAATATTAGTACAGTAGTGGACTTAGCTTGCAGCATAAATCGTCATACGTAAGGGTACTATCATTTGTAAAGGCATATTAATATCATTTCTATTTTTTTTTATGCCGGTCGTCGATCGTGCCTGGTTATCCCACCACTTGCGGAGGACCACAAGATAACCGCGTATCAAATATTTACCGTCGCTTGGCTTCACCTGCCTGTCGACCCTCCCACCAGAGGCCAGGTGTGTGTTCCTCACTTCTGAAGTTTTAACCGAATCAAATGAAATTTATGAACAGGTGGGTAGGCAGGTGTGATTGCTCCATCTGATGGGAACTGTCTTAGTACAGTATTCATGAATGTTACAAAATGTGTATGTATAACCAAGGCCAGAGCTCTTTCTTTAATAATTATTCTAAGTTGTTGGACTAGTATAATTGCTAACATTATGGCGCGCTTAAAGACCTTGGTTGTTGATGTACAGTAATGGCATTGCAGTATAAACGCCGCGGTGAAATATCAATTTTATTACTTGTTTTGCCACACTTATATATTTCATCAATCTGGATTCAGGAAAGATCTGAACTCGAACCTGGAAAAAAAACAATTTATTCGTCTGTAATAAGACTACAAGTGACAAGCAGCCATAGTTGCCAGATTAGCATTTTGTCGCTGTCGATACTGTAACGTTCCGATGCTTTGGGGGACTTTATCGAGAATTATAACTTAATTGTTTATGTGCACAAAACATCACAGTAAGTTATAATTCTCGACAAATGCTAGCAAACATCGGAAATAAACACTATCGGTAGAGGAAAATGCACTGAATCTGGTAACTATGATTATGCAGCATCAGAGACTTGTGAGGTTATCGCGAAGATTGCATGATGTGCAGTTAAATGCCAAAGTTCGCTCGCCAGCAGCTAAAAATTTCACACTGTGGTATGGGAGGTGAAAGAGTGGCGGGGTGAGGGGATTAGGGAAAGGGAGAAAGAGGCCTCGGGTTAAAGTAAGTAAAACAAAGTAACAAGGATGAACAGACACCCCGAAGAATTAAAATTATTTGGTATCTTCTGCGGATAGAGGATAGCAACAATACACAGAAGTGCAGCGATAACAGCCCGTGGAGCCCCTCGCTACGCTATTACAGGCAGAGATTGTCTCTATGTAAAGTTAACACAAACACACACACACACACACACTACTTATCGAACAAGGTAAAAAAAAATCCTTTCGTTAATTGTTATGGCACAACTTGGCAACAACTGAAACAGATAAAAAGGTTAATAATAGTATAAGATATCCTACATTTAATGAAATACAATATAAAGTTTAGAATATATGCAGAATATTATAAGACTTAGAAGTGTTATTTTGTAGCGGTAATTTTAACATGGAGTCATTGCCTTCTCATATCCATGCATCAATTTATACATTACTGTATTATCTATTTTATAATTTGTGAGTTGGGTAAACCTAGGTTGAATGTGGGTCACTTGTCATTTATACTGTCTATCAAAGGCTGCTGTACTGGCATGTGTACCTCCCCTTGTCCATCACACTGTTTAAAAGAAAAAAAATGGGTGTATCCTTATTTCCACTCACGTTTGTCAGTAAGAGAGAGTGTGTGTGTGTGTGTGTGTGTGAGAGAGAGAAAGAGAGAGAGGAATGTGTGTGTTAATGCTTGTGGGTCTCGCTTCCATTATATATCTTTTAAATTTAAAGTACTGTGCTCTGAAATCCGCTGAACATCGTCTCACTCCAAATATTTACTATAATCACATTAGATGGGGCGCTTTTATCACTTTCCCAAGCCTGTGTGACTATGTGACTACAATTTGTTAAAACAATATTTATATAAAGGAGAGATATACGAGTATATGCTATATACAGAATATGCTGTACAAAGCCGGGCACACACAACATCACATCCAAGAGGCAGAATTGAAATAACTTATCTCGTATATAAACACTAGACCGTGTCAATTATTACGTGTAACATCATGTATATTTTCCTTCAATCCCCCAGCCCATGTCTCCCTTCCTGTGTATATCAAAGGAGCCATAATCTAACCTTACCTAATCAAAATCCAATAAAAAATAAATTCCTGATGATGGACACATAATTTTCCCCTGCCCATAAATTTACAAGAAAATGTTGAAGCTTAATAGTTGTAGCAAATCATGACCTTCAAAGGTATTTTTAGGTTCAGGAAAATGTGTTGCTACTTGACCAATAATATGAGTTAATGCAATTATTCTCCAAAATTTAATAGAGAATTATGAAACTCTGCTTCTATCACCGCATGAAGATCTAAATTATATACAAAATTAAATAAAATAAAACAAATAATTAGTTGTCTTTTTGTGATATTGTAGTGGATAACCCCACAATATAATTTCTGACATTATGAATAATTGAATGTACAAATATCGCATTATTATACGGTTTTAAGTTTCACACATGAATAAAAATGAAATATACGCATTCATAATTTAATTTGTGTAATCTAAGAAATAAAAAAAAACGTATAAAAATATAAGTTTTCTTTGGAGTTTCATCCACCATGTTCGAGTATTGTGTTCAAGGATTGCACATAACATTAAATATAAAATTCAATATATTATATTTATTTAAATTAATATAAATAATTAGTGTTAAAATTATTTTACGAAATATACTTAGATATATATTTTTTTGTTAGACTATAAGTCCGAAGGCGAATACAATATATATGGGCGAAAGAAGTCAAAAGGAAGGATCCGGACGGAGGCAGAGGACGTAAAGGGGACCCGCAGCTGAGTTTGTAAACAAAGTGAGGCAGGTAAGGCAGAGGTGGAGGGACTGGCTGACTCCGTTGCTGATGGAAGGCTGACTCTCTCCTGACACAAGCAACATGGCTGACAAGAGTGATATGGTTACACACACTCCTATCCTAGAGGCAGAATTAAATAGCCTTAGAGGTATGAACGCTTATGACATATACAGACGTGAGGTTAAACCATATTTACTCATGGCCACAGCTTGGACACCTTTTGACTTAGATAGCATTTAATATGATAACGTTTTACTGTTTCTGTGTCTCACGCTTTTTGGACACGTATAACTGCACCCGGAGATTCTGTAAGGGTATCCATATCAAACTATTCATTTGTACCTGCCAGATTTTGTGATGGCATTATATAAGTTTATGAACACTACAATGGACGTTATTATGTCAATTGTTCATATCTCAAATCAATGTATGGCCGCCTTACCAGGAGTTAGAACTTCAAGTTAAAGAAGCCACAAATGCAGAAATTTGCCCGAGATAACTTCTTAGGAGTGACAGTTGTGAACTCTTGGAATAACCTGCTACAGAATGTTGTGACAGTACCAAAGTGTGAGTTCATTTAAGACCAGACATGATCAATTCTGTCACTTGTTCAGGTATCTAAAAGAGCCCATACATGCCCAGTGCTTGTCAAAAATGTATAACAGAGATGTGATCAACTGCCCAATTGGCCTATGAGCCAACCAGGGGCAAAAGAAGATAAGCTAAAGTATGGCCACAGATTTTTAACAAACTCAATTCTTCATGCCACTGAAGCTTTCTTACTCAGCATTAATATTTTAGGTCGAACGAGGAACTTCATATTTATATTTATGTAAGGAGAAAGAGGAAAACATACTTAATTCTATTTCGTTTTCATCACAAATTTATATTCTTCGTGTATTTTAACCGATATGACTCCCTCCCAATTACCAACAATATTGATTGTTCAAAGAGGGCAGGGCTTTGAAGTAAAGGGAAAATGTGGGGTAAAATACTCGAAAGAACACTAAAGAAACCTTTGAAAACCTTTCCTAACCTTTCCTAACTTGTAAACTGGTTAAGAGTTACTTTCGAGTTTATGGGTCCCTCCTCACCTGAACACCGAAAACAACACTACCATCACATATTACGGTAAACACCAAAAACACGAATAAGGTATACAGTATAAGCTTTATATAGTTTTATGATTTTTACAAGTTAGGTCAGGCTTTCAAAGGTTTGTTTGGTGTTCTTTTTAGTACTGTACCTCATATTTTCCCTTTACTTCAAAGCCCTGCCCACTTTGAACAACCGATATTGTTGGTAATTTCTGGTAAAATACTCGAAAATATAAATTTGTGATGGAAAAGTTATAGAATAGAGTATTTTTGTTATATGAAGTTCCTTGTTCAACCGAAAATGAATCTTTAATAGTTTGTTTTTCCTGAAGAAAATCATGGTAGGAGTAGCGATACAGTAAATTATGAAGGCTGCTAGTGTTCTTTGAGGGTTAATGGATACACCATATTATATGCTTGACAGCTAAAGGGAAATTTTCAGCTGTATACTCTCATCTTAATGCTTTATATGTTCTTATGTCTAAATAACTTCAACAGGTCATAATTGAGGTTTGTCATATATTTGCTTAATTAAATACATTAACAGTTGATATTTTGAATTTTTGTTATTCTGTAGTTTGACTCTTGGACATATATTTGCTATGTTCATCTACTATCAATTTTGTATTTCATATGCCAGCTAAAATGTTTACCCACCATCCTAATAGATGTAAGAAAACTAAACCTAACCAAACATACCTAACTTAATCTAAATAAAAGATATTACATCATCATATGGTTAGGTTAAGTTTGGTTGGTTCATATTATTTCAGATTAATGATATAATATAGCAGCAGTCACCGGAAGCATTCTTATGGAAAGTTCTCAGAAATATTTGGTTGCTGGTAAGTATTTGTATGTCACCAACACAAAATTGGCAACAGATGGATAATTTAATCTCAGAAGTAACTATTACTGCAAGGAACACATGATAAAGATCTTTTGTCAATTGTCTTACAACTCTGATTACTAAGATTTTTTTTCCTTGTTTCTTAAATTTCAGGTTTGTCCTTCAGAGACTATCTCAAGTCAGAACTGCGTCGTGGTTACTTGCTTGAAAATGACGAAGAGAGATATACAGCTCGTAGAGAGAAGGTTTATACTTTCTTTAAAATTCCAAGGGAGGTAAGGATGTGTGATGTTGAAATACTTTTTTATATTTAAAGATGTTAATTAGTTTTAATTTTGTTATAAGAGCTTCTGTATTATAGGTGAATTGGGATCTTTTGTGTTGATTGTTATTGTTATTCCCAGACATTACATAACCTTAGTCAGTAACATGTTTACCCCATGTGGAAGACTACAAGACTAGGTTTATTATAACAAGGAAATTAAACTTAGAAAATAAGAATAGAGTTTCTACTTAAGCTCTATGATTTACATATGACCTAAAAATATAGATTCAGTATCAAATTTCCATAACGGAAGGGCTTTTTGATATAACTTTCGGGAACAAAAGTAAAGATTGAAATTAATGAATTTGTGGTTACAGAATCAAAATAAATTTTCTTGTTCGTTTCAGATTGAGAAATTTGTCGCATATGGATTCTTCCAGTGTGCTGACTCCTTCTTCTTTGTCTTCACATTTCTGCCTATCAGATTCTTCTTAGCCATATGGTCCCTCTTGACACGCCCTATCAGAAAATTGTTTGGGTATGTGTTCACCCCCATACTGTAAGATGATGCAGTACTTATTTATTTTTTTCATTATATACCATGGTGTGTATTTTCTCACATATGAATATTTTCCTTAAAGTTACAGTACTGTATATGATCATATCCTCATTAAACACCTACAATATAATGTATTTTTTCCCTTTAAGTCAGCAGTTAATTATTATTGAGATTAAAATCAAGACCATGGGTTAACCCGTGTACAAACGTTATTTTTCTGACATTTTTCTCGACAGATTCTACTTCAACAAAAATCGGAGAATTCTGAAACCGGCAGAAATCGTAGACTTACTAAAAGGAGTGATGGTGTTGGTGTGCTGTTACATCATGGGTTATATTGACACCTCTGTCTGCTACCACATTATCAAGACCCAGTCAACCATAAAGTTATACTTGTTCTTCAATATGTTGGAGATTGCAGACAGGTAAGGTAGAAGATCTATTTGAAGGTACAGTATATCTGCTTTTCTTATGGTAATGGAATAGCAGAGTGTAACCCCTTCACTACAGGATGCCACATATAGATTTTATTTGGCTAACTCTAGATAATTTTATTCACCTCAGAGGGAACCCCCCATACACAAGGGGTTTAAAGAATATTCCTTTACATAATTGTATAGAATAAAAGGATTGAAAGTGAAAAAAAATGAAGATGTGAGTGTGTCTGAGATACTACGGCTTTGTGGAACAATTGATGGATGACATGTTGAGAAGACTTATTTTATAATACAGTGGAGTTTGAGTGTTGGCCTACATATGACATAAGATGAGTCATTAAGTTCATTACCCGAGTTGTTGAGTCATTAATTATGTGGCTCAGACAGGTAGGCTAGTTGCATGTGGAGTTATAAGAAATGGATATAAGAGTTATAAAAGAAGTGAGCTAAATACTGTAAAGTAAAATACGTCATTGTAACTGAAATTAAAAGGTGGATTGCTTAACTTGTGCTAGAAGAAGTGGGATTGGAAATATCAGCAAAAAAGTTTTATTGGTATTTATTGAATATGACTTGTAGCACGGACACACTGAAACCATTGATAGGCAGAATGAGGGAATGCATGGATGGGAGTTTTGTTGTAAGGAAATGTGTAACTGAATTTCAAGGACTAATATTGGGAGGAAGATATGCATAGCCTCTGTGGTGAAGGGGAAAATTGTGTGTGTATTTTAGGTTTGCAGATAGATAAACTGTAAAGTATGCTTCAAGAAGACTTTATGGTCTTTTCTGATTTACTTCTTCACAGGCTCATGTCAGCATTTGGACAAGACACTTTGGATGCTTTATTTTGGACCGCCACAGAACCTCGAGGCAGGAAAAGGGAACACTTTGGCGTGCTGTTTCACCTGCTTGTTGCAATTGCATATGTTGCCATGCATTCAACGATAGTCCTCCTGCAAGCTCTCACACTTAATGTAGCCATCAACTCAGACAACAAGGGCCTGCTGACTATTGTTATATCAAATAATGTAAGATGATTTTTCTGACTTGCAGTATTGTATTGTACAGTAATTTGTTTAATAGGGTAAATTTTAGAGTGACAAATGGAACAGCTCTTTTCGTTATCTCCTGATTATAATTTGGGTTCCCCAATTTGTACTGTGTGGTTATAAATTTGGTCTAATCATAATGGTCACATAATATCCTTGACATTTAGTGTAATATATCCATGTTAGTGAATTTAAATTTACCAGATATCAGATGGAAAAAAATGCATACCCGTATTAGATAGTTTGGATTACTTGAAGAATCTCCACCCCAGCTAATTTCACCTAAAGATTAACTGAAAGATTTAAATATGATAATTACAGTGTTCTTCATGTAATTTAACCAAACTTAAAATTTTCAGTTTGTTGAATTAAAGGGAGCAGTATTCAAGAAATTTGACCGTAACAACCTACTGCAAATATCCTGTAGTGACGTTCGGGAAAGATTTCACAACTGCGTTCTTTTGTTAGTGGTGGTGATACAGACCATGAAGGAATATGCATGGAAGGAGGGTAAGTGAGTTATTTAATCCCGTCATTACTATATACCTTAACTGTAGTCTCTGTATACATACCCTGAAAACCTTTCCTGCGTGACTACTGTACTAGGTTCTCTTACATGAATTTACACAGGTTTGAAAGTGTGGTTTTGGCTGTAGAGTATTGGACTACGTTATCTACTATCTTCAAAAAATCAGTTTAAGTTATATCTATTTCAAATTATCCCTGAATGGCAATGTAGACCACCACAAATCTTCAGAGGCTATCTAGGGGCAGTTGTCCATATTTCCCCTTGTCTTATACTGTATCAGGTAGACCTGCATGACTCCTCACCCCCACCAACATTGTGGGTCATCATTTGTGCCAGATTAAGCTAAGTACGGTGTCATAGTCATGCTGAGCCGTATTAGAAAGAAGGCTGACCAAAAGTTCAGTGAAATGAGAATTAATGCAAGTTAAAGGATATATTAGTGATACCAGTAAGAAGTTAAGTAATGATTTACTTAGTGACAGTAAATTTAAATTAATTGTGGATGAAACATAGATTTGTGTGGCACAACACTCCCCACAAATGAGTTTCCTGATGTTATTTAAAAAAATATGAGGCTATACAAGGCTTACTGAAAACTAATTAGGTGAACATCACTAGTCAAAGAAAACAGGAATTAAGCACATAGGTGGTATTACAACATGTACCATATACTATAATTTTACCATAAATTAATGCACATAATGCCGATATATTGTTATTAATTAGGTTTAGGTATGGTACCTTACTTTTCTTGTACAGTATCTAGACATGACACATCAGTTATGTTAATGAAGTTTTATTTATTTGCAGAGCGCTTGTGGATATTACTCCCAGATTGCCTCTTGGTGTGTGGTACAGAAATTCTTGTTGACTGGCTCAAGCATGCCTTCATCACCAGGTTTAATGACATCCCTGCTGATGCATACAAAGACTACACTGTTCTTTTAGCCTCAGACCTCATTATGTGCAAGCAAAAATATGTGAGTCACTTTTTTACCAAAAATTTTCACTTCAGTTGTACTAAGTGTGATCTTTTTGCCTTTAGTATAACAATATTGTTTGCTAAGATCTATGGAACAAATAAAGAATAAAATTATGTATACAGTATATGAAGCTCTGTAGATCAATGTGGAGGTTAGGGATTCACTCTGTATACTGTACTTGTTGAGGATATTAGTTTGTGTGTATGGACTACTGCACTGTATTTCTACTTGTTGTTTCAGCCTTTACCTGTAGCTTCCTTGAGGCTTATGTACCATTTTACCCCCAACTCAAGTGTAGAAGAGGAATAAAGGTATTAGATAGAGGTAAAATAAATAAGAAAAACTGTTCTAATGTTTATGCCTCAACAGGTAAGACTTATGCTAAGGTGGATGTTTAAAGTGAATGATGTAGATGGTTATGAATGTGGAACTATGACACAGGTATGGAATGAATGATTCAAAATAATACTGTACTCAGGATGATAAGAAGGGTATTAGTATGGAAGAAGGTTTTGGGGGCAGTAGGAGAAACTGTAATTGCGTTTGGAGATTTACCTCGGTTTTCTGTCTCGTTTTAAACTTATAAAGTACACTCTTTGGCCGCCGAATGGAGATTTAGGTTTCTGAATTATTGTTTCTTTCATAGGAATTACTGGCACCTTTTGATAGTTATACATGTGATGACAGTACTGTAGTACAGTACTGTATTGCATACAACAGCCTCTTTTAAAATGTCTCAAATGAGTTCAGTTCATGTGACAACAGTGGTGGGATAAAGAAAAGTGTGATATAATCTCTTCTTCTTTTTCAGGCATATTCAGACCACAGTGACCTTGTAGCACGACGCATGGGCTTCATTCCTCTTCCCCTCGGGGTTGTCATGTATCGCATTCTAAGTCAATCCATCCACCTCAGCAATCCAGCATCGTACTTGATTCTTGTATTTGGATTCTTCTGCCTTTTGTCTTTCCGGTAAGATACCATTCCTCATATTTATTCTTTTTAGCAAAATAAGTAACAGACGTATGTCACATCTATAGATTTGCCTCATCAAATTATCATTAGCCATGCACGTATCATTTTTATCATCAATTGAGTTTTTAATTTTTAATCTCACTATTTTGTTGAGTTATTTAGTAAATACATATAAATAAAATAATAATGTGACAATATAGCTCACATGATGATGGTGGCAGCCATTCATGATGTTAACACCACCACTCCATACCCATGACAAATGGACATTTATTGAGTTATATGCTTGAAAGGTATTATAGTTAACCACTAAACAAACAGAATAGAATGACAGTGGTGGTGATGCACAACTCTCACATATAGTTGTGTTAGATGCTCGTTATATCAATTTTTTCTCTGGGACCAACTGTGCTTAGGGCAAGTGAACCGCCCCTCAAGTATGGTAAAATGATTGTCTACTGTATATACAAATGTCGCTTGAAATTAGCACAATTGTTTAGCAACATAATACAGGCATGTGGTATGGCTTATGAATCTTGAGAAAGGAGGTACAGTGAGATGATGTAAGTTTGCCTCTGTCTTTAAGGTAATGTATGGTAGGTGCATTATTTGATGTTGCAATAATTTTTCCTTTTGTAATAATTCTGCTTTCTTTTCAGTATTTTATATTATTCCCTGCAATAGCAGGGCTTGTATAGTGATAATAATAGATAAACAAACCTGTAAACACAAACCTATCCCGACAATATTTGGTAGTACTGGTGCATTGAACGCAGAGTAATTTTTGGACATTTAAAAAAAAAGTCAAAGATTATTCACTGTGCCGGGTAGAGGGAAATGCCAATCCAAAAAATTCCCTTTACCATGCTAGGTAGTGAAAAATACTAAGACTCCATTGCAAAATTATTATAGGTTAGGTTAGTTTGCCAAGCCAACCTAAATAAAGTAATCTATTACATTAAAGTATGTGTGGATGTGGACCTAACATCTGACTCGCCCTCCATGTGGCTGTGTGGGTGTGATAATTGAATGAAATTATCATACATGTTTCACATTGGTTCAACATGTTTTGTTTAATACTAAATGTACTTGAGGGAATATTTTAAAAAAACATGACATATAGACACTTATTGAGTCAATCATGCAGTGCACAATAATCTTAAGTCATTCATAACTTATAAAATCATCATACAATATGCAATATTAATCTACAAAATGAAAGTGGGTAGCCTAGATCCGTATACGACACTGAAACGGTGAGATACTTGAGTATGGTTGCTACCAATGATCACTTCCACCCCTCGCCCGCCAATTACTAACTAGTGGATTATACCACTTACTTAGCAGGAGAAACTGTTAAAGATACATATGCCAATAATGCTGTAGAAATTACCCTGTGTTGTTACAGCAATTTGATTTCAGCTTTTTTTAACATTGTACATATAATGCTGATGGTTATAATTTTTTCAGTGTATTAAATGGTGTCATCATTCTGGGGAAAGCTTGTGACCTTATTGAGAGCGCTGAGAAGCGTCGTGCTAGAAACGAATCTACTTCTGAGTCTGTAGAGAAAAAGAAGTCAAGTAGTAGTGACTCCATGACCTCTGAAGAAACATGTTCAAAAGAGGAGCCTATAAAGGTAGAGGCAGCCACTAGTCCTATACGAGGGTGGAGTCTGCCACCTCAGCCCTCGCCCATGTGTGAAAAACTGCCATGCAAAGCTTTCACTCCAACACCTGAGATGACAACACCAGCCTCAGCTTCCATTGTTTCCACTCCCTCGTCATCGGCTGCCCCACCGAGGAGCAACTCTTTGGACTTCTTTGGAGAATCTAAAAAAGGACTGATGGCCAATAGCATGGTCAACCTATCAAGTGTAGGAATTAACGAAGGGCCATTTACCAGTGACGCATCGAGGCAGTACCTTCTACAACACTCGCTGGAAAGTATAGTCTCGGCCGAAAATTCGGATGCAGCCGATAGCTCATTTGAACAGATCGCATCCGTTCCAGCAACCCCTGGATTGTTACCAACAACAAGCGAAGCGAGTAGCAACACAGATGACCAGACAGAACATATTCAAGCTATAACTCCAAGTCCAGCGTCATCCCAGGGAGAATCTTTATTCGAGATTGAAGCTCCATCCGAGATGAAAAAAATTAAAAGGCCACCTTTCTTAACGTGTGATTCATTAAGATATAGAGGCTCCACAGATGCTGGGGATTTGCTATGATTTTTTGTTATGGATGTTTTAATAAGATAAGATATATTACTGTATATACGTACATTAACTTACTTTCAAAGCAGTTGAGTGATAGGCTGTTAGTTTACTGTATATGTAGTTACTTATTGCAATTTTCCAGTCTGCATGACCTTGAATATTTGTGTTTAATATGTTGCCATAAGCCAGCAACCTTATTATCAATCGGAATAAGTTTCAAGAATAATGCGATGTGATTCAGATTATGCCAACAGCGATCGTTTTATAAACAGTAATATTTCAAATGAATATCATATTAGTTATTTGATAACATCAGCACTTTTGTGTGCAGTTGTTTTATTTGTTTTGGTATTATTACATGTGTGTTTGTGTGTGTTTGTTTGTTTGTTTGACTGTCTGCATCTGTTTTTGTGTTAATAAGCTTATACACTAGAATATTACTATGTATCCAAATGTTATGTGTACAGTACAGTATTTATATGTAAGTTAGTACCTACACACACATAGTAAAGCTTATGTGTTCCAGATTAAAACACACCCAACATAATACAAAGACATATGTGTACTTGTATACAGACCTAGTGTTATCCCTGTCCTCAATGTACAGCTTGATGGAATGAATGGGTGATGAAATTAATGATGAAGAAACACGAAGTGTGAGGCTTAACCCCGACACTACGAGGACATTACTCAATATTTAGTTTGTCTAATGTCAGACGATTTTATTCAGCTTAGAGGAGAACCCATACACAAGGAGTTAATGCAGAAAGTTGACACTGAAGAAAACAAGGATTAATGGAGATAATTTAGAATAACTTAAGGAACAGGAAAAAGATGAAAATTGGGATCTTGGGGAGAAAGCTAAATACTGTACTGTACCTTAATTAAATGTATGTTAGGAAATACTGTATACGTATATAATTGAGTTGTGCTAAAAGTCAGAGAATGTATAGGGAAAGGAGACTAAAGATGAGAGATGCATTTGATTGGTTTTTCAAATCCATCTTCAATGGAGAACGTTCAGGGAATATTTTGTAAATCTGTTGAATGTTAGATTTGTAGTAAGTTTTATAAGATTCATAATGAGTTTATGGGGTATTGAAGTGATCGGTGATTAAGGGAGAGGTACGAATGAAGAACAAAAATATTTGTCTTGACAGTAATTTACTGTGTAAGATGGGATTGGTGTTCAGAAAAAATTTAGGTTTGCTGTTTGAGAAAATGGTACAGTAATTGAGTAAATAATATTGCAGGTATAAAAGTGAGAGATTAAGATGTTATACAGTATAGTGTTCAGAAAAATAGTAGATGTAAAGGTCATGAAATTTATCAATATAAGCAGCAGTGGAAAGATTTCAATTTGGAATTAAGTTACCCAGTACATTTTGCAGGGCAGTGGCACACTTAGATATTTTATTTAACTTAGAGACACCCTGCCCTACAAAGGGTTAATATGCGAGTCATAGGTGAGTGTCAGTTGAATGTGTGTTACTACCAAGATTATTTAAAGTACATTACTGTACTATGTACAGTAGGGTATTGTTAAATGAAATAGTAAAGGAAATTTAAATGAAGGAATTATATCTGTGAGCAGATTGTAAGAATATTGTCTAATGCAGATGATACAGCTCTAGCCCAGTCAGAGGAGGCAGCATAAATATACTGTCTAATTCTTTCTATCAGGTGTAAAGCCTATGAATGTATGACTCTCAGCCATTCTCTCTTAGCTCCCTCTACCACATTTCACAATCTTTGCTGTGATGCCAGATGGTGTGACCATAGAGAGTATAATACTGTACAGTATACTGTACTATCTTTTCATAATTTTTCTTTGTTTACATACTGTATTGTTCAGGTTGATTCCCATTGAGCCTTCCCATAAAGAGAGAAAATTAATTCCCTCTTCCATTATCTTGGTTCTCGTAGGATTCTTTGGTACTGGTGAATAGTACAGTACACAGTAATTACAGGATTATGTAGGAAAAGGAAGTACTGTAAATATTTTGAAACCTAGATGATGGTGCTGCCAAAGTGGAATTCAATAAGGTGAGAATGGATAAAGTTAAGAATTTGAAATATATGGGAAGCATTTTTAGCGTCACTGGATGAATGAATGCCAAGAGTAATGAAATGAAAACAAATAGCCTGACAATGTTATGTGAATCTATAACTGTGATGAGTATGTATGAAGATTCAATTCACTCAACTCTGATATTTAGGATGAATACAAAGATGTAGAAGGACAATGAAAGTAAGATGGGTATTGATTTTTCTTTAGATAATTGATTTTGGAGTTATAAGAATGATTTGCATGATGAATAAGGTTGAAAGAGGTAAAAATTGATTAGCAAAGTAAGTGGGTCAGAGTTATATGGTAGTATGGGTCAACTGGGAAGCTGTGATCTGTAAAATGAGGAAATTGAGTGATCTCCAGATTCCCTCCAGCCAGATGTTGCTTAGGGGTTTATTGAGAATAGGGTAACTTAGCAATCTTTGGCACTCATATTTCCTGGGTTACTGCTCAGTAACTCCATGATACACGTAAATAATATCGCCCGTATTATTAAACAACATCTTCCCTTGAAGAGGGTCGTCATGTTTCAACCCGAGTTTTAAACTATACAAGTCCTGAGGGACACCGCAGTACTGCACCTAACGGGGTGGTGTGTTGGTAAAATTAACTAATTCCAATAAAATTAATTTATGATATTGAAATTAGTTAATTTTACCGCCACACCACCCCGTTAGGTACAGTACTGCGGTGTCCCTCAGGACTAATTTAGTTTAAAACTCGGGTTGAAACACGACGACCCTCTTCAAGGGAAGATGTTGTTTAATAATATGGGCGTAAATGTTTTCAGAACCAACCATTCTTTGTCTACTGTTATAGCTAATTAATTTTTTTTTATGTTGTTTTAAAGGCAATTTGACAAAAGAGTAGAGTGTTTACTAATGAGATAAGATGAGTGTGCCCCGCAGTCATATGTTGTCAGTACTGTATTACGTATTGGAAAATTAAACTACAGTGTTGAAGCTATCCCACTTAGTTCCAGTTACCTCGTAGGCCTCACTTGGTGGATTACAGCTTTCCTCCCTCCAAGATATTATATATTTCTCCTCACCTCACACCACCACACTTATTGACCAAATTGTTCCCCCTAAGCAATGTTACTTAATTTCACTTCACCTCATGCCTCCTCACCATGCAACTACTTGTACCATGCATAGTTTTCCTCCATGGGTTAACTAGCTACCAGGGTTACCTCCTGTCCCAGCACCTTTTGCAGTACAGTGTATATCAATTCAGTTTTGGTTCCTGGTTGTCTTGGTCTTCCTGCCATGAATTTTCATTTATTTATTTATTTTTGTGTGTGTACTACAGGTATATGTTCCTGGGTTCATTTTATTTTATATAATGTTTTTTCTAATTTTGTTTTTTAGTGATCTTGTTTTTGTTTTTGTTGTCTTCATGACTGTATTTTGTGTGTATACACACACACACACACACACACATATGCATTCACTATGTATGAATCACACACACATGCATTTAATATGTATGAATATGCCTTTCATGATGTGTTATATTTTTTTGCTTTTTATGCCAGCACATTCCTTTTGTAGTTAACCCCCAAGGAAAGCAGATGATAAAAGATAGGTTAAGTAAATAGATAGAGTACAATTACCGGAACGTTATTATAATTAAGGATTAAGGACATTAATCTGCATATTATTGTACATATACGTTAATGCAGTTATAAAGATGAAAATACTGTAATTCAAACAAAGCCCAGTGGGCAAGACAAGTTATAAATGTTCAAAGTATAATCATTTATGCCCAATTTCATTGCTTTGTTTCTTCAGTTATATATCACCATTTTTTTTGGGATTGTCTTTAAAGCATAAGATTAGTGAGAATAATAGTTATTAAAGTATATAAAGCCATTCAGTAAAGCATTATGAAGTAATGAAATTAAACAATGTAAGCATTGAAGTTATCTGAATGATACAATCAGAGAATTTTCAGAAAACTGCTGCAACTCCTGCACTAATGATGGATATGTTTGAGAGTAAGCCATAATTTATATCTTCCATTACTCTAGTGTCAGGTCTTAGAGAGAATTAGTGACCACCTTCTCAGGCTCCGTCCCTAACAAGTCAGGAAACAAAATACCAAGTACAATACACACTACCCAGAAAATATCTTTAGGGAGGGGTCCGATGAATTTAAAATTGAACACTGACTCCTGTTGTCTCAGTAGGGTAGTAAAAATCCTCGTCTGTTGTGTCATTTTTGTCTAATACAAAATTGTAACGACATCTTTTGGAGCGGCTGTACCTGTACAGTACTGTGAAATATGAATTCTAGAAAGGTTCAAAGCAGGTGAATTGGCTAACAGATGACTCATGAATGTGGTCTTGGTGAATGTCCATAAGAATGTTTAAATTAATTCTCCCCTGAACAGTATATCTGTTGTATTACATGTTTTTTGTTTTTGTTTTTTTATATAATTTTGTCTGGGTGTTTTTTAAATAAACTTTTGTGTGTAAGAAATTAGTTAACCCTTAAACTGTGACATGCATCATATAATAGCCAAATTTTCATGCCAATGTTTCTAAGTCATGTACTACAGTAGTTCTAAGAGAAGCATTCATAAAGTGAACCATGTGTCTCAGCAGACCTCTCGCATCACCCAAGCAGCACCCAGGCCCTCGGAACATGGGAGGTGCGTACTGTATTTGTTGCCATCTCCCATAGTGATGTGTAAATTCCAGACACTTAAGAAAAGTTGTTCATCTTTCTTAACACAACTCTATCCCATGAAAGTGGGTTCAGGACTTGGAGGTGTTAGTGGACAATTAAGAAAAAGATGAGTCTTTACCACCGAGCGCCTCCCTCCAACCCGAGTCACTTGGCCCCAACACGCTTACTTAAACACTCCAACACAGCAAAACATATGCAGATAATTATTTTTATATTTTGATACCTTTGCTGCTATATCTGTAATGTTTATAAGATTTTTTAGAATCTTTTTAAACACACAGCAGTTACCGAATTTTGTCATAGTCACATATTAAGGGTTAATAACTTTCAATATCGTGTTGCAAGTTAACATTCAGTGTTTTGTTGTGATGTTAACCACCTGAATCCATGTTGGTGTAGGTGGTAATCAGTCATGGCTTGCTCTATCTCTCTAAATATGAGTTCAAAACTTATTTTTTTAATATAATTATATACAGTACTGTATACATATACATATGTGTGTATATATATATATATATATATATATATATATATATATATATATATATATATATATATATATATATATATATATATATATATATATATATATATATATATATATGTATGTATGTATGTATGTATACAGCTAGACCCCGGCTTACGACGGGGTTAGGGACCCAAATCCAGGTCGTAAGTCCGACATGGATAAAAATAAAAAATAGAAAAAATCTTCTTTTTTTTAAATAAAAAATCTACAATGAAATACAGTACATTAAAAGTAATAAATAATGAGGAATGGATACAGTGTGACTGAGCACTTATCTTTAATGTAGTCAGCTGAATGCGCATGGGGCCCCCATAATTTTCTAATTATACATGGAGACTACATTAACTGGAAACGTTTCGGTATAGAAAATGCGTGCATCATTTGGAAAAAAAAATGGTCACAACTGCGGTGGTCGTAAGTCCAAGCAGTCGTAAGTCGGGGTCTAGCTGTATATATATATATATATATATATATATATATATATATATATATATATATATATATATATATATATATATATATATATATATATATATATATATATATATATATATATATATATATATATATATATATATATATATATATATATATATTTATATATATATATTTTTTTTTTTTTTATTGCACATGAGTATTTGTAAAGTTGGATTTTTCTAGTCATAGTTAACATGTATTTAAGTACAGTATATGTATCGGCTGGTTATGGAGTATGGCAATGTATTACATGAGTTATAATAAGGGTCATAATTATGTTTGCTGTGTAAACTCACTCCCCTGTGCTGGCCTGACTCTTCATTTACAACTAACTCTAACATTGCACTGTATACAGTGGGGTATGCTATAACGAACGGATCCTACTACGAATATTCCTATAATGAACGGTTCTACCTATAAAATTGAGAATGCTATAACGAACGAAACTCGTACAACGAACATTATTTAAATTTTTTTTTTTTTTTTTTACTAATTTATTGTTTTTTATTACAAGTATTAATTATATTCTTTATTGCAGGGGTTTAGATGCATATTTATGCACTTTTTTACAATTTTTACAATTTTATATTATATTTTTCAGTGTTAAGTGGTTGTATTTGGGGGCCTGGAACGGATTAATCCTATAACGAACGAATGCTATAACGAACAAGGTTCTAGAACCAATTACATTCGTTATAGCATACCCCACTGTACTACATGTTTATTATTGTCCTCTGATAATGTTGTATTGCACCAACCTTCAAAATAGATAAATTGTTTATTTTAAAGTTGCTTGGCCTACATGACACAATGACTGAATAGTCCAATGGTGTGATAATTTATACAGCTTAAGTGACTGCTCAAAACTTTTACTTTGTAAATATTGAGAATCAGATGTTTTTTATTTTTATTAGCATGTTTACTTCCTGAATTATCACTTATTAGCAAAGATGTAAACTGTTTGGACTTCAACTATGAATGACAATGCTTTATTTATGCGTTATCCTTTAGGGAATAATTGCAAATTCATTCAGAACTGCCAAATAACATGAAAATTGTGATTTTTTTTTATTTAAAGATGTATTATTATTATATGCTGGGAGATTGTTCCAACAGACAAATTTCTTAAACTGAATACAATACAGTACAGTACTATACTACTGTTATTTGATTTTTAATAAGTAACTTTTAAAAAATAGACATTTCTAGTTGATGATTGTCACTCAGTGGCCTGTTACTACACTTACTTGGAATTGGGGTTGTGGTCTGTCACACTAAGCCTCCCACTTTAGTATCATTGTCTGATCACCCATCCCTGCCTGTCATATCCATCAGTCTTAGATGAAGGAGATTAAATGCAATGGTTGTCTTCTAGGGGCAAGAGGTCGAAGTAGAACACATGTCCCCCCTTGTCAGTCCACATGCACACTTACCCAGCTGTGTTGTCGTAATTCCAGGACCAGTTCATTATTATGGTTCACATTTAGTCCTGAGCCAACAACCATTAAGGGGTCATGCTTGTTGTGCTCCCCCTTGATCAGCTTGGTTTCTTTTGTTATTCAGGAATAATTTTAGTCTTCTGTTTGGACTGTAGGTATCTTTTTTCTTTCTTCAAAGTGTGAAATTTCTTCTAATTCATTTCTCAGTGTGTCAGCAGGAGGGTAGGGGTAAGGTTTTCTGTCCCTGCCCTCAGCTTTATAAGCTTCAGGTTTGGATCCTCATGGGTTCTCTTGGGTCTGTAGTTTTATATGGTATAAATTATTTGTTGTTTTGGTGGAGGTTCATCTGGGGTTCTTGGCTGTACAGACTATATGTATTCTCAGGTTGTCTTTCACTCTCTGTTATGGAGTTGAGATTCATATGTCTCTATGAGCTCAGTAGGCCCCTCCTCTTCTGTCTTCACATTCTTCTATCTTGATCTGCACAGAAATGGTCCATGTCACCTTAAAGACTGTCACCATGACCATCCCTGAGAGAACGTACGATGTCCACTGTTGTTGAGGTTCTTGACTGTTGTTATTACAGGTTCTAGCATAACACCAATAAACTTTATTTTAAGAGAGAATTGTCTTCTGTATTACATTCAATGCCCAACCTTTTCCATGCTGCTTAACCTGAGAGCCATCCCCCTCTTTTCAAGCTGGCTGTTGTAACAGGAACTATTCAGCATCAACCAGAAATGGGAATTGATCCTGAGATCCTATTTTCTACTAAAGCTTACACCTAAATGGCTTGGATACATTTCCTCCTTTGGTTTGGGTGTAGTCCTTTGTAAGATGGAGAATTGGTCCTGGAATCATGGCAGACATATCAAGGACAAGTGTGGCTACTGACTGGGTAGATATGTGCCTCTAGAGCAGGGGTTCTTTTTCTTTTTTTCTGCCATATACTCCATAGTGTTGGCATGACCAGTCATTTACCCCCACCCCATAAATAAACATAACCATGTCATAAGTGTAATAAGCTTATTAAAGGAAATAGGCTGGACAATGGAAATTAGGGGAAAAACAGACAATACATCATTTATTATTCTAGACTTGCACAGTAATATACTGTAGCAATCAAAGAAACATTACAAGTATTTTAAAAATTTTCACCAGCTGATAGCAGGGTGGGGGAACGTTTTCTGAGAGATTATCACACAGAAGTATTAAAATTATCGCTCAAAATTATTGTACATAATTATCATACATTTGTCTTTAGTCAGTAAAGTCTTTTGCAGAGGAAGGAGTTAAAATTACAGTATTTTAGACATTGCCTATTTACCGCCAGCAATTTTTTTTTTCCTTGGGGGTAAATTTATGTTCTAAAGGGCAGCCTTTGTATATAATTTCCTTCACTTAAGGCCGAAGGAGATGACAGGAAAGAATGGGTGATTATAAGATAAAATCCTTGCTGTTAAAGGGGAGTAAGTCTAGATGAACGCATCTCATTCTGGGTATGTGAAGAACGAGACTTACTTTGCTACAGGCTTCATTGGGAAATAGAATTTATGAATTGATCACTTCTTTCTGCTCATTTATGTCATCTTACTCCATATTTACATCAGAGTTGCACATACATAATCTTTCCCAAACATTTCTACAATTGACCAGTTGTCAATAGTGTTTGTGTTAAAACCCAACAACAGTGAAGTTCTCATTAAGTGGCAGCTTTAAGAATCAAGACTATATAAAGTGTAAGGTTATCTGAGAAATTATAGATAGGAAAAATACTAGGAATAAAAAGGATGAAAAATTATCAAATATATAGGTACTGTACCGGGGTAAGGGGAATAATTTAAAGAATAGCTTGTTACTTGAGAGAGAGTATGAGTTCCTGTGTGATACAGTTAGAATGTGCTCAAAGAAAATAATTGAGAAAAGAGGCAAGCCCATTATATTTTGTAAAGTACAGTACAGTACAGTATATATATGTGAATGCTATACTGTACATCATTCTATTCTAGTAACTGAGAGTCAGGATTCTTGGCACAGTATAAGTATTAATTTAATTTAGGATTTGAAGTACTTCTATATAATACTTTACCCGAGCTGTCAAGTGTTAGCTAGAGGTGGGAGAATTCTGCTATGCCCTTTACCATTATGAAGGTTTGGACTTACAGATTGTCATGATATTTTTTATTATTTTATTGAAGATGATGCAGATTATAAAACATGGGTGAGAGTGTTGGAGTTAGCTTATAGATATGTGTGGCTTGACTAAATAATGACGACATTTTCATTTTCTGTAACACAAGTATGGGCTTCTTAAATAATGAAGACATGTCTCTCTTGTCTTTAACATTAGTGTGTGCATATTAGATAAATGTTTTTTTAAGGTGAAATGAGTTTCTTTTCTATGATAATTTTTTTATTGGTGTTAAAGATGAAGGTGTTTTTATATCATGTTAATAAACTTTCCACAATGTGAGTTAATATAGGTAATGCTATATAGATATGTAAATATGCTAGCTACTGAAGATGTTTGATAATTTGAATATACCGGTAGTTAATGATGAAATATATTTACAGTATGTATCTTTTATGGAAGGTAAAGAGCCATACATACATTGCCAATGCAGTGTCTGCCAACTGCATGTGTAGGAGAATGTAAATTTTTATGAGTAATTTAAATATTTCCTGTTCCTCGCTACTGTACTGAACGCAGAAGATGAAAATACTGTACTACATAAGGACCTCCAGAGTAGAACTTGAATAATAATTTTTATTCGGTTTTCATTTTCATTATGATGGCTTACAACAGTTTGGCTGCCAGACTTTTCAAGGTGGTGTGATGGACAGACAGTAATTCCAGTACTAAGGCAACAGTGATGAAAATGGTTGTGATATTTTTAAATTATATTATAATTTTGGCTCCATACAGTATATATATATATATATATATATATATATATATATATATATATATATATATATTTATATATTATATATATATTATATATATATATATAATATATATATGTGTGTGATGCCTAGTGTTACAATAGTAAATAAATTAGACTTGTAAAGAAAAAGAAAAACATGAAATTTTTGTTTATGATTTCAAATTGTTAGACATTTGATATAGATAAGTATATCAGTGTGTAAGAACTTTTGTACAGTATATTTATCTTTTATCTTATTATTCCTAAACTATCTTTACCATAACTTCTTTATTGATGACAGTTTTTTAACTCTTTATCTTTATGAAATCTCTCCAAATACTGTACTACTACCAGAAAGAAAATACAGTACCTGTATGATGGTGAGAAGTTTGAGTATTGCTTTGTATTTGTTGAGAATAAACAAATGAAAAGTACCATTTTGATATGTTGGTTATACATACTACTTTCTTTTCATAACCTAATGCCATTTCATTACAGCTCAGGTCCAAGTTAAGCCAGCCAGAGTTAATTAAAAGATAAAACTTCTCCACTGCAACAACTATCATCATCTAAGTGGAAGATTAGAAGCCAAGGTTTTCTTATAGCTTAAAGCACCTCAAAGACCATTACTGAATGTATCTGAAGTTAGAGGTCACAGCCTCAAGTTAAAGAAGCTCAGTAAAAAAAATGCCGGACTTATAACTTCTTTGGAGTAATAATTGTTATTTTTTTTAATAACCTGCCAGATGATGATGTGACACCAAGTGTGAACTTCTTGAAGTTCAGATTTGACCAACACCAGTAAATGTTCAGGCTAAGGGATAGATAACCAAGTAAGTCATAATTTTCATCCATCACCATTTATGACCATTTTCCTTGCTTGCATGGGTTAGCATAATTACCTAATGGCATGGTGTCCTGGTTGCCTTTGGGTAATTTTGAAGCAAGTTTTATGGGTGAATGCCCTTCCTATCACTAAAATACTTTTACAAAATGGAATAAAGTAAGTACAATGGTTAATTTAGCATCCACCAGATGAATTCTGGGTAGCATACCAGAAATTTGTCTAAATTGTCAGATACAGGTACCGGGTAAAAGAGATCGGTGACACTGTGTGTGATCAGTGACTCCTCGTGGTAAAAGGTCATTTATTAACTGTGGAACAATCTAGGCAATGGTGCTGCAGGGTATTAGCCATGGAACTTTTACTGTGTAGCAAGAAATATTCCTTGGTTTGCAGGGATATATATATATATATATATATATATATATATATATATATATATATATATATATATATATATATATATATATATATATATATATATATATATATATATATATATATATATATGAGTCAGAATCGTGACCTCTTGGAGCAATCTGCCAGTGTGTTGTGACAGCGAGTGTGACCAACACGAGCAGGTTCAGCTATACTATACTCAGGAGCCCAAGCGGCGAACGAGCCGATCAGTGGTGAGGAGGATAAAAGTAAAGTAAAAGTATGTAATACAGGTTGAAATTTTCAGGTGGCATTCCATTAAGTGAACTCTTTATTGTAACCGCCTGAACGGCTAGTGAGCTGATAAATGGTGAAATTTATTAATAAAAAAAAGTATCCAGTAAAAACTTTGTAAGTAATTACGCTTTATCGGCAATAGTATAGATAGCTTTTGGATTAATAAATCAGTTTAAAAAATAATAAATAAGTTCCACAGCTGGCACGCATAGTCCATTACATTTTATAATACGTGAATGGGGAAATATTGTAATAATTAGATTTATTTCGTACCATATTACGATCTAAAAAAATAATACAGTATACTGATTACATCGCCTGGATTACCGGCAGTATGCACCCTAAGCGGCGTAGACAGTCAGTGACTGGGTGTCCAACTGTTCTCTCATTCAGTGCTCTTAAAATAATGTTTGTCGTCCTGTCAGTAAAACACGGAGAATTTCCAGAGATTGTACTCAAATAATATAAAATGGCGAGTCATGATTCACAGCTCTTAAAGGCTGAACTAGTCACCACTATCATATAATATTAGTGCCAAATCAGTTATAGTAATCACCATAAGTTTAAAAAAATATATATTTCTATACAATAAACTACTAAATTCTAACAATATTTAATAAATTAAGATAAATTCAACAGACTATATTGTGGAATAAATGTTAAATTAAAGTAAAAATAGTGGTATAGTATGTACGTTTGGCACATAGTAGTAGCCACGCATGCGCAGTGGGCGTCTTCTGTACAACATGGCTTCAGAATCAAACATGGAGGAGTGTATTCCATCTCCCGGCACTCCGGACTCAAGGAAAAGGCCACTGGACATCGATTCAGACGATGCAATGTCCAAGCGTTCACATTACATACCAGGTGAGATAATTTTAATATCATGGAATATAAATTTTATCCTGTAAATAAGTATCAAATGGATAAACTTGTTGGGACCCCCAGAGCCTCACTAATCTAAGTCATGTTTGAGTAACTAGTCAAAACATGTGAAAGTAGTTAATTATACACAACCTCGATGACCTAGAATAAACCTTTAAACCTGATAGTACGCATGGCAGTGAGGAAAACTTATGAATGGTGTCAGAGGTTGTATCTAATGGAAGGAAGTGGAACAACGTAATGATGGCGTTCCTTCGATCGTTGGAGACGCGGCCGAGGCTTGATGTGTCCTGCTGCGCCTGCGTCACTACTCTGGCTCCTGTGGCTGGGGAACAAACCCACACCTCCTTTACCATGGCCAGGCTCATGTATGGAGAACAAACAGTGGATAATATCTGGCTCCTGTGGCTGGGGAACAAACCCACCTCCTTTACCATGGCCAGGCTCATGTATGGAGAACAAACAGTGGATAATATAGGGTTATCCAAGGTCACTGAGTACTGTTTAATGTACTTGGTTCATTGGTATTATCCCTGGATCTTTAATTAAGGTTGTTATTGTGTAATCAGGTCTTGTGTCTGTGGTGATTTGTCATTGAGTATGAATTAATGATTGGTTAATGGTTTATTTTATACAGTTGTTAGGTAATTTGACACGAGTTTATATCCTCATCATAGCTATTGTACTTGTGATTTTTGGTTTGAGAAAAAGTTATTACCTAATAACTTGGATGAATTAGATGTTAACAAGTCTCATTGATTTTAATATAAAGTCTGGGAACTGTACAGAGTTTGTGGTAAGGTTTTGTGTTATCACCAAGTACTGTATTATACTAAATGCTTTAATTGATTTGTTCTCATTTGTTTTCATTATAATACCTTACAGTTTTTTCTTATTTTTTACAATATATTTGAGCAATACTTATGACACATCTAACTCACAAAATTATTGAAACTCCTGATTGGTGCCCTTAATTTTCAAATTTAAATATTGCACATAGATTGCAAATTTGGTAAGGTGTTGCACATAAATTATTGATCTTAAGATTAAATGGAAATCTCGGGAAGCCTTCATGCTTTCAGTACTGTACTTAGGTGATTTGTTTAGACCTATCCTTGTCTTTTTTGAGTTGGAATGAACCACTGAGCAATATTTGTTGAAGTTTGGCAGTACTGTACATTACTCTTTCTTCCATAACTGCTGCTAAAATGTATGTAATTCACTGACAGTTTAATGAAGATGTAAGGATTATGATCAAGTATTTACAGTAATGTCTGGCAAATAATTGCAAGGTTGTGTTCTCCCATGATCCCCAAACTGTTTTGAATTAAGTGCACTAAGACAACTGAATCACGATCATGAAAACCAACCATTATTAAGGGTACATTCATCCCAATTATTTCTCTTATTACATTTTTTCTGCTTCTTGTCAATTTTATCAGTTGTCAAGGGACTCAATATTTAGGTATACAGTACAGTATTTGTCAAAAAAAAATGTGGCATAATTTCCAATGAGAGATCAGGACAAATGTTGTTGGGTGATGTAATGGTTACTTAAAGGTATTGGATGTGCATAAATCAGGTGTTCCAGTCTTGTTGAAAGTTAGGAAAGAGTAATATTAGATATTTTACAAATGTATTGCTCTCTTAAAAAATTAGGCAGTGAGTATTTGTCTGGCACTCGTCAGGTATCTGCCCTTATGATCGTATTGAGGGTGACTTATTCCTCGCCTTGAAAAATTTATTAGAACTATGAGAAAATACTTCAAAATTTTAGTTTTTCTTATAAATAATGGAATTCAAATTGCCAAGCTTACTTGACGCATTTTTTGCCATGATCTGTACGCACGAACACTTCGTGACAACTTTTATTTTAATTTTAATTTTTTATTTTTTGAGATAAGATGAATCAACTTAACCCAATTTACATAAACCTAACTTAACTATCTATCTCAAGATGGAAGTACATTATTAAAGGTTAGGTAAGATGCTTTGTCTGTTTGTATGGTAAGGTCACTGAGAAGGGTTAAATCGCTGGAATTGTATATATGTCAACAACAGGTCTCGGAATGAATATTAACAGTCATTTTTCTAAAATTGTTGGATGAATATACACTGCCTAAAAATTTGCAGTAATTAACATTAGATGAGACAAAATCTTCTAGAAAGAAATAATTTACTACTGAGCCAGTTAATGATACCTGTAATAACTAAATGCTGTCTGTCTCAGATTTTCTTAAATGCAAAGGATATTGAGTTTTGGAAAATAAAGAATTAAGATTTAATGTTATTGGTTAGTAAATTTATAGAAGAAAACACCATGTTACATAAAACAATTTCTAGGGGAAATTGGCAGGACAGTATTCAATTGCTGTACAGGACTGTTTTGTTTAGGACACAAGGAGTTGTGCATTAAGGGAATGTAATCTTTCAACCCAGTTGAGAGAAATCCATAATCATTTGCTTGCAAGACGGTGCTTACCAATAGAGCTACAGACCTTTTGCTTGTATTACTTGAAATATATAAAGTTAAACCACCAAACCTTTTCCCGTGCAGCATTTTGTTATCTATTACATTTCACAAACTATGTTTCTTTTTTTTTATTTCTTTTTTTATTTTGTACATGATGTCCCTGGGGGTCAGTTGAATCATATCTTACCCTACTTGTCAAACTACAGTATATGTAAAATTTGACTAAGGTCTTCTCTCTAGCATTAGACTAATCCCTCAACACAATTCTTTTATTCAGATATGCAGAGTGAAGGGACATATCACCTCAAGATTTTGGTGCCAAGTGTTGCAGCTGGTGCTATCATCGGCAAAGGGGGAGAGACAATTGCACAACTTCAAAAAGATACCAGTGCCCGAGTTAAGATGTCTAAAGCCAACGATTTCTATCCAGGTGGGTTAGAAAGGATAAAATTTGTTGTTTCATGTTATTTAAATGTTAATTACCTGAAATTCTGGTAACTTGCAGACTGTGGGATTTGTTATGAAATAAATGAGTGAAAATGTAGATATCAACTGTATTTGTCTTGTTATAATACTGAATATCTTTGTTTGGTACTTGAGTTTGGTATTTTTCATAATTTTTTGCAATACCTTACTAAGGCTAATGAATTATGTTTATTTCAGTACTTCAGAAATTATGCTTCCCACATATTACCTATAATATTATTCTTTTTATTTATTTATTTATTGAAGGAATTTCAGTCACGCTATACAGATGTGCAAAGATTTTGTACAATGGGTTGCATATCAAATTCATGATGTAACTATTATTTAATAGTTAGTTAATACTACTGAACTTCTTTTGGGCTTTACCTGTCTTTCACAGACATCTTGTTCTATATGTTTATGTTGTAATTGGTCTCTAGTTTCATCACTGGTATGTTTTTCCACAAATTAATGTCCTAGCAGTACTGAATGATATGATAATTTGAAGTATTTTCTATTTTTTATATCAATCTTTTTAAGGTAAAGTAGAGAAAAAGCTTTTTTTTTTTATTCATGGTTTGGTTTTTTATTGCTGAAATTGTTCACACTTTAAATGAGTCAGCTGCTTAGAGTTATTTGTTACACTGGATGGTGTTAAATGTAAACTTAGATGTTAAGTACAGTAGGTGTTAAACAATAGAATTCCAATTATAATTTATTTAACATTTCATTTTGCAGGTACTACAGAGCGTGTTTGCCTCATCACGGGTAATGTTGATGCAATATGCACTGTGCTTTCATTCATAATGGAGAAAATTAAAGAGAAACCTGACCCAAATGCCAAGCCAGCAATTGACTTTGATAACAAGATGACTGCAGAAAGAGAAAAACAGGTAAATACAAGATCTTTTTTTCATCATCTTGGTAGAATAAGGCATTATGATTATGGTGATAAGGTGCTCATTATAGGGTGAAATTTACTATGGAAACGTTGCTTGCTAGTTGTTATAATGTGTTTTTATCTGGTATAAACACAGCCTTCTGTTCTAGCCTCGAATCATACTTCCAATTTCAACCATCGGAAAAAACTTAGTACTGTAGTAGTAAATACGAGTATTTTTCAGATATATATCTTGCAATTAGATTTTAGAAGAGCTTATTTCTATCCATCTACTCACCCATTCTCTGGATGGTGTGAAGTACAGCTACTCCCCGACTTACGACCACCTGGACATACGACCGCCTCAGTCGTACCAAAATTTAGTCAAATAAGTATTTTCGAGTCCCAACGTCAGTGATTACGCTGTGTACTGACAAAATTTTCGTTTGTAATTCACTTTAAAATGGCTGACAAGCTTAAAAGAAAGTTTTGTGGTGCTGAGAAGAAAAAGAGACACCCATTTTAGATTTTCTATGTATTTTTAAGCATTTTTGACTTACGACCATTTCGACTTACGACCTGGATTTGGGTCCCTAACCCCGCTGTAAGTCGGGGAACAGTTGTATCTTATTTTCCACTCTCTCTGTGGCATTGGGATCTCAACGCCTAGTGTGATTTTTAAGATTATGATAGATAAGTACATACGAGTTGTGTGCAAATAAGTTACTGTATAAGCAGTTACAGCCCAGTGTGGATGTTGTTATTGCCTTCCTTATATTTGAACTATTGATGTCTTGTGGGGATTTGCTATTGTCTTCCTAGTATCTTAATTATGAAGAATCTATTTTGGATTTTCAAATGAGAAAATTAGTGCTGGTATTGCACAATTTCTCAAATGGGATTTTTCGCATGATGGCCCATGCAAAACTGCGTTCCATTCTATTTCTGTTAACAAGAAATATGGTCTAGTTGCTAGCACTATGGACTCCCAGCCCAAGAATCCCTGAACAGGCAAGGTTGCTGGGTATGATCTGCTTAACTGGGCTCTTCCTCTGTCAGTGCCTGGGGGTAAGCTTCTCCTCACCTAGGGGTTGCTGTCCCCATATATTGTGGAAAATGTGAAAGTAGTCAGCTTTTACATATACTGTGTATATATATAGTTATAACCTGATGTCATTTTCAAGGAGACTTGTATTTTACACATGAAGTCAATGGGTCACAACCCAGTCATATCCTTAATATTAATGGTTGGCATTAATTGAATGACTAATATGTACTATACATTTCTCCTGTTAAAACCTTCACCATTAAACATGGGTATATTAGAGGTGACAGCTATTCCTGCTAATTTAACTGGTTTACCCTAACCTCACCTTCCTTATTCACTGTCAACCAATTTGATTTTCACAGTTCCTGCTCTATTAGTTTAGTCACAAGCTAAAGACTTTATCTGGGGTTGCAAGGGTTGTTTCAGTTGTGCTAGCAATCCAATAAAATATTTGTCTGGTTGATAGATGGTGCTGGCCTTTATCCACAGTGTCAAGGGAAGGACCCAGTTCCATTGTGTATGTATATTGGCCATTCCTGGGAGGATATTATTTTGTAAATCAGATGGGTGTTAGGTTTATAGGATGATAATTTCTTGCTTGAGAAATATAATGGGGTCCCAGGATTTCTATGTCGGATGTTGGTTGGAGGCCGACTGACAATCTCTCTAAGGGGTAATGCAACTTAAGTCTTAGATTTGCTATCTACTGTACAATCTGTCTGTATTGTCATAAAATCCAAATGTTTCAGTGGGATGTGATGAGATTTAATTATCATCCGTAACTGTTTTCATCATCTAAGTTCAGAAATTGTTAAATGGGATGGAGTCTTTCCTCATGCATATGTTAGGAATTATGTGAAGTGATGTGTAGTTGTTCCACCTCTAAGGATTTCCCTATATTGTAGGAGTGGATTCCTAACTAAACTACTCACTTGAGAGTCCTCATTCTTACTTTATGAAAATGGAATGATGCAAGTCTCGGGGGAAAGAGATCCCATGGGATAACAGCACTATTCAGTATGTGCCTTGAACACCATAATTTGGGTAAAAGTTTTCACCTGATTTAGTGTTTAAAGGTTCTTAGCTCTTCTTGGACCTGATCTGCGACCTGTATTACTGTATTTGTTTTAACTTTTCATAAAATGTGTTGTTGGGATTAGTTTTGAATGTCCTCAAATTACATTTGTCATCTATTTTGAGCTTTAGTCACTAGTTATGTTTATTTTTTCCTCAGGATATTTGTTTTATCATCAGAATATAACTTATTGTAGGACCAAAATAAAATAAAATTATTTGGGGTAAAATGGTTGGAAACGTGTGGAAATCAGGTGACTGAGAAAATGTAAACAAGATGTGAAAGTTAGTTTTTTCTTTGAAAGTACAAATTGAGTGATGGGAGTTGTAATAGAAATGTAAGACAGCAGCAGCAAGCAAGACATCTTGTGAAATAGAAAGATACTAAGTTATTTAGCAAATGAGAATTTACTTACACAGTAGATGGAGACTACTTTTAAACTTAACACATTAGGAGGAAGTGACCTCAGGACACAGGAAAGTAAAATGGGTTTACAGATTATAGTAGAACAAACTTAAGTGTACATTAAGTAGAATTATGAGAAAGTTATGAGGGAAAGACCCTAAAATGGTAGATTGGAACAACAGTACAGTATAATGAGGGTGAGTAGATTTAATGAAAGGTGGGGGTAAGTGACATGTATTTACCAGTGTTTTTCAAGAAAAATACTGCTAAACTTAAATCTTCCAAAGGAGAATTGTTGTATATGTCTCTTGAATTTCAGTTTATTATGGGTTCACATTAAGCTTTCCATTTTACAGCCGTGCTTCTGTATTTGATATTCCCAAACGGAAAATTTTTCATAATTCAGAAGACTGGTGTTTCCAAAATCTAGTATTGAAATTGCTTAATAATTCATAATATTTTGATTTGTACAAGATATTCTGTAAAGTAATGGGTTAATTCTGTTTATTTTGTAACCTGCCTGTACTTCCTTTAACATAGATATCTCTATATATATTTCTTAGCCCACTCATTATATTCCTTTCTTGCTAGCTCATCAGTCATCATTCCGTTTGTTCACACTTCCACTTCGAGGTGTCTGAAAAATAATTGATAACTTCCCTACAAGTTAAAGTTTACTTTGTTTCTTCCTCCCATCACTACTTATTTTCATTATTTACTCTGCCTTGGTTGATATTCATGATCAGCCAGCACTAACACACACACACCAAAACATATTTAATATATTTTTCACTTTTTCTCTATTCATTTCCTACTTCCAAACTTCTTCTCTTTCCTTTACTCTTTTCACCGCTCCTTTTAGTACATTCACAGTAGTGTCATGCACAGTTTATTTCTCTTTGTGTTAGCATGTAGTTAAATATTGCATGGACTTCCATTATTTGATCTCTATATAATAACACATTTCGTTCTTTTTGAGCCACGTACTTCTCTATCAATATTTCAAAGTATAATTTTAATGAATTTCACACCATTACCAATGATTCTTGCCCTCCTCTTTTCCTCATCATACCTTGCCTTGCTCTATTACCTTCTCATACTTAAGCTTTCACTGACTTTTCTCTTAAGGATAGCTCTTTTGAATGTGCATATACAATATACCCTTCTAAACTGTTTTCTGTTATGCAACTTCTGTAATACAGTAAACCTTGGTATAACAGAAGCTGGTTATAACAGACACCCTTAACATATCTGGCAAACCCTCAAGCTAACAGATAGATGTCCGTTATCCCCGACGAGTTGTCGGTTTTATTGGACATTATCATACATCGGTTACATTATTATACATCGGTTTTAACAGACTTTCGGCTTAAGCGGCAACAGAGTTGCCCCTACCCCCAATTAGTCCATTATCACCGAGGGTTTACTGTATTCAGATTATAAGTATATTTTGGTTTTCCTTCTCATAGCATTCTTACTCTGCCATTTCTCTCATAACATTTCATGCAACTTCTTTACAGTTTTTGTTAATATCATTTTGGAATACTTTACACTTAAAATTCCCAACCTTTCTGATAGTCTTACACTCTACTTTTACTATTTGTCATAACATTATTAGTGGTGACAAACAACTATGGCAAAATTACTCTTGTTTTCATATAATTTAACCATAAAGGCCATTACTACTGTACAGTATATTCTTATATAAAAGTTACCCCTAACAAGTTAGTCCATAGTAATTTATTCATACTTTCTGGAGAATTTTCTGAATTACCTGTATAAACAAAACTCCTTGTATGTCATAAGCTTTTGAATACTGTTTTAAAACTAGTATTTGTGTTATAAGCACATGGTACACACAATCATGGATTTTCTTGGCTGAATGTCAACATCCTCCGTATGTCACAATTATGCCATACTATAGGATTTTTAGTCATATCAAGTTGATTGGTACATTAAGGGCTGCTATAAAGTTACAACTATTACGTGTATTAATTTCTGTTTGCTTTTTGGTATTAGTGTTTGCCCTTTAAACATATTGGCCAAGAGCACATTTATTCCTGTCTTCCCTTAACATAATATGTACATGGTCACTAGTTGTGGTGGGTCTCCTGTTAAAAATGCATGTGTTAATGATGTTAAGAGCCATTAGTTGCCTCTCCATATTTATTGGTAATTGAATACTGTGCACCATATAGGAGTTATGGCCCTCGAGGTTTTGAGAATCTTGGGGTTAAAACTTGTGCTTGGTAATGAGGAGTTGGTGACCTCTCTTGTGTTTTAAACAGCACCATATAAATACTCATCCTCAGACTTTTTTATTTCCCTTTCTAATTTATTCCATTTTAATATTTATTTACTTTACTGGTGTGGATATGTCTGTTGCTGTATATTGTATGTAAATTATTATGTGTTTTATAATTTATAATTTTCTCCATATAATTAAAAAAAAAAATGTTGCCATTAAGTCCGATTCATCTACCTTCATCAGATTTCAAGAAGTGCTCGATCTCCACAGGTGAAGATTTTGGTCCCCAATAGCACAGCGGGCATGATCATTGGTAAGGGTGGCACTTACATCAAGCAGATCAAAGAAGAAAGTGGGGCCTATGTTCAGATCTCCCAAAAAGCTAAAGACCAGTCTTTAGCCGAGCGGTGTATCACTGTCATATGTGAGTCATAATCTGTTTGTGTTGTGATTGGTAGGATGATTTCAGGAAGAAAGTACCCGTCAGTCAAGTCTTTGTATTTGTGAAAAAAATTAAGTATGCCATAGTTACAGTGACCCCTCGTTTAACGAACGCCTCGGTTAACGAAATTTCGGTTAACGAACTGCCTTCCATAAGGATCTTCAATTCGGTTAACGAACAAAAATTCGGTTAACGAATTTCTTACGAACCGACCTCAACATGTTTTTGCTTGCACTGACCAGGCAACCAGCTTTAGTATCAGTCCGCCAATACATTAATCGGTTCTAGGGCTTAAATTCCTTACTATTTTAGTAAATATCAAGAAGTTTATACTATTCAATAATTTTAAAAGTTTAATATTAACTTTTTTAGTCATTTTAACAATTATTGAACATAATTGAAGGTAAAGAAACTAGTTTCTGGCGTGCCATCCAGCCTGTTAACACACCAGACAGGCGTAAGTCTCTCTCTGTTTTCAGTGGAGGTAACATCTTGCTTGAGACTCTCTTCAACTAAACGCTTTTTTTCTGTGTTTCCAAGCAATTTATTGGTCATTTTGAAATATATTTTACATATTGACAATATATAATGCAAAGCAGTGTTGATTTAAAGAAAATAATCTTGAAATACACCAAGAGAACTAAAATTTCATGGATGAAATGGTGCCATGGGGTGACTTCTCTTCCACCCCAATGCCTTTTCTTCTTCCTTGTCCTCCACCCCCATTCTAATTCCCATCATCATCATCATGCAGGAGCCTTCTACATACACACCTCAAAGTAAGTGAACTTTTCTACCATTTTTGTTGAATTTAGGAAATTTTCGGTGAGCTGGAACCAATTACCCAAAAACCCATTGAAACAATGGTTTCGGTTAACGAACTTTTCGGTTAACGAACAACCTTCTGGAACGGATTGAGTTCGTTAACCAAGGGGTCACTGTATTGTGTTTGAAGTGTATGTTAAATTGATATGGATATTCAGGGATGATATATGGAATGAAATATTGGTGTTAAAGATTTTACTGTGCATGAAATACTTGTCAGAATACATGGTGGTGTTTATAAGTGGCTTGAATTGAGTTGGATTTTGTTTTTACACTTGTTTAATGTTCTCGGGTACAGTACTGTATATGGTACTGGCCAGGAGATTTATGATAAGAATAGAATGATTGTTGGTACGGTTGAAGTATTGGTAGAGACAGACATGATAAGAATGTTTTAATTTATCTCTCGATCTTTTGATGAATAAATTAGAAAAGGAAATGTAACTATTAATGAGTTGGTTATATTGATGTTTCTGTGATTAGGTGAACATTATAAATGTGACTTTAGCTTTAATAGTAAAAAACTAAAAGAATGGATTGAGGTTCATTATGGGGTGTTAAATGCAGCAAGGATGGCATTGGGGAAAGCTGACAAAAGTGTATCCATTAGGGAAAAGAAATAACTATTGCAGCACCTTCTAGACCCCTAGAAATATTATTTACTAAGAACTCTGGCCTAGAGAGTACTGTATATTGTACTGCATGTATCCCCTAGCCTGATTTCTCTCATACAGTACTTAAGAAACTTTGGGTTCATAGGTATAGATGAAACATTTAAGATGACTATTGAAACTGAACTACTGTGTGGTAGTTGACTAAGTGTTTGTCAAGTAATAGAGAACACAGTAAACCACTGATTACTGTAGTTTCTAAGTGGTATTTTGATCTGTGGTACTATGACAAACCAGTTTATACCATAACTTTCTAATTTGTATCACTTGTTATACAACACTACAGATTATACCAGGAAAATACATAGCACAGCCCTGTAATTCAGTTTCCATGTGAAAATCTCTGTAGCTTCAAGGTTATAAGAGGAAAATATAATATTAGTAAGCAAATAACTAGCCAAATTACAGTAGAATTTAAAGGGCAATGAATTTTGTCTTTTGGCTTGCATCAGAAATTAGTCATATGAAGCATAGCATAACAACATTAAGCCTATCTCCTGGTTGAGCATTTTCATTTATCATGAAGGCCCGGCTCATCTCTGTTGACATGTGTGAGACCTCATTTGACTTGTCACCAACAGTATTAAAGCCAGTGTTGACATGCCATAGAACCCATTGTTCAAAGCTTGCCAATTGTTGTGAAAGAGTTTTATTGTATTACTGCCTTGGACCTCTCAAAAGAGGACTGGCTATCCTTTTCCTTGTGTGTGCACTTAGTGTATAAACCAGAACCTCAAAGTCCTTACAATATTATTAGATATACTGTATCAAGATTGTTAGTGTGGAATGGGTGGCCCAGAGTACATCCAATTTTTCCCACAAGGTATAGACTTTCATTTCTGTGAATCCCCAATCTGTGGTGCTCTCCAGGATTGATGGTCTGTAGAAATTAGGGGTTTACCGTATTAAGTGCAAGAGATGAGGTATTGACATAGTAGACAGTGTAAAAGATAAATAAGTTTTACAGGAGGTATAGGCATTTGTTGAGGTGCATGTGTTGGAGGGATGAGTTGATGCTGAGGACGGACAGAGTGAGGAAGTATGTATGAAAGATCATTATATTGATGTAAGATTTAATCTAGATGGCAAAGTAATAAATGCTATTCAACCTTGTTTAAATTGAAGCATCACAATTCATTGCTGTGCAAATTGGCATAAAAAGTGTAAAATGTTAATGATGATAAGTGCACCTTTACAAACATGTTTTTGGAAATTATCATAGAATACAAGTAGTAATACAGTATATCTGTTAGCCGGAATCCTTCAAACCCGGAACTCTCCGATAGCCGGAATTTAAATTTTCTCATAAAATTGTTCCCAAAGCTGGAATTTTCCAGAAAATCCCGGTTGTGGAAACAATTTTCCGGGGGGCATATTTTCTAGAAAGTTCAGAGAAAAATTTCCCAGTACCCTGAAAATTCCGGGGATGGGTGATTTTTCTTCCCCCGTAGTTTGAGAGATGAAAATCGGGCTCATTTTCCGGAAATTCCGAGAAATTTTTTTTTGGTACCTGGAAAATTTCAGGGATGTGGGATATTTTTCTTGGTTCCAGAGATAATGTAATGCACAATTTCTGGAATTTCCGAATAGTTTTCCGTTACCCGGAAAATTCCAGGGAAGAGGGATTTTTCCGGCTTTGAGAGAGTCGTCTCGTTACCCGGAAATCTCTCATTCCCAGAAGTGCTCTGCACGAATTGTTCCGGCTAATGGAGATATCACTGTATATCTGCCTTGTTCCATGAAATAAATGGTCACTAAATCAAAGTATGATATAAATTCATTGCATATATTTCTTACATATATATTTTGTGTATTTGACAAAACAATGACCTCTACCTTTCTGTGGTGCAGCCAATGATGTGGAAAATAGCAAGAATGCGTGTTTGATGATCTTGGCGAAGATTGTTGAGGATCCCCAGAGTGGCACATGTCTCAACGTGAGCTACGCTGACATCACTGGTCCTGTCGCCAACCCTAACCCAACAGGTTCACCTTTTGCTAACTCCCCTGGAGGACAGGGTATGCAGAATGGTGGTTTGGGTGGATTGAATAATCCACTTTCTGCTGGTATGTATTGCTATATACTTAGCAACTCAAGAAAAATAATTTTGACATATGCAAATGAATCTTGTTTTGATGTCTAACTTTTATATTATGTGGCTATAATTTACTTGTATAGTTTAGCAAAGGAAGTTTTGTATGTAATAAGCATACTCATTGATTGTCAATCTTTTTCTTTTCAGTAAGTGGATTAGGCAATCTCCTTGGTGGAGGTGTAAACCTAACATTGAACTTGAGCTCAGCATATCCAAATGGTGGTGCTGGAAACCCAGTTGTTACTGCCCAGCTCTTGGAGCACGTGAGGTCCATTCTCCGTTCTTCTGGTTTTGCCGATCAATCCAATGCTGAGGTTTGCCAGGCCATCAACACACTAATCAATTACGGTATCATCGGCTTAGGGCTGGGTCTTGGTAACCCCTCGGGTCATCAGGGGAGTCATGGAGGCCAGGGGGGTCAAGGACAAGGCAATATGGGAGGTAATCCTATGTTAGGAAACATGAACAACTCTAACAACCCTAATGAATCTTACCATGGATCATCAATGAGTAATGGGAACAATGGCCCTTTTGGGCCCATCGGCACAACAGTGGCCTCGGGTCTAAACTTAGGGCAAGGCCTAGGTGGACCAACCTCCCCTCAACGTCAAGTGGATCGTTTCAATTCTGAGCCCCCTTTTGATCCTTTTCGCCGGCAGTCTACAGAAATGGGGGGGAGTCTACCCCTGAACAGTAACTCATTTGGGCTCGGCACTCCTTTAAGGAAGAGCCCATCTCCCGGGGAACTTCCTCCAGGAGCTCCAGATGGTAGCAAGAAGGTTGAGGTGGAAGTTGGTGAGCACATTGTTGGCGCTATCCTGGGTCCTGGGGGAAAGTCTCTGGTAGAGATCCAGCATATCTCCGGCACCACTATTCAGATCTCCAAGAAGGGTAACTATGCTCCTGGTACTCGTAACCGCATTGTCACCATCACAGGTCTACCTTCGGGCATCTCAACAGCGCAGTTTCTCATTGAACAGCGCATCTCTGAGGAAGAGGGCAAACGTGCCCGCCATAATGCCATCATGGGGGTCATGCCTTAAATCATCTGCGCCTCATCTCCACCTTCTCACCCATAACTGAGCAGACCCTTTTTGGGGCTTGAAAAATATTTGCGCACACCATTGCCTCTTGCCTCATTAAATTTTAGTGATGAATGTTAATGTTTGGTGAGTCTTTTATATGAATATTTTCGGAAATTTCAAGCTCCACCATCTGTCATCAAATTCAGGTGCTTTTCAGTAAATCATGTAGTATATGTATGCATTTGATAACTAAATTATACTGTACAAAATGATCTGATACTTGTTTTTAACTGACAAGCACCTTGCACTTACTATTTAGGTCACAGCAGTTCATTGTTCTTTACTTTCTTCAAAACCTTGTGTGTTCAGATGTCACCCCATTCATAAGGCATAACCATTACAGACTTCTCATAATTGGCCATTTTACTCTTTAAATTTCCCCAGTCACCAACTACAGTTGTTTGAAAGCATTATGCACCTTTGTATAGAAGACAGCAACTGTAAGTATCTATTGTTCATTGTTAAGATATTTCATTATATTTGTTTGACGAGTAGTAGTCAACTTGGTATTCATCTGATTTCTTTTCTTTAATATAGTTTAATTCATTGTGCAATTGTTCATGCTGAGTTGAACCCTCATGTGGGTGTTGTCTGGGGCCACAGCATCCCTCACAGGTGGAGGATAAGCTTGTCTGAAGCTGACCCTCAATCCCAGCGCTATTTGGCCACGTTTTCATTACCAGACCTGCTGAATTGTATGCTCCTGTTGGTATTTAGATTCAGTTTAATTTTGAAATGCAAATTTAACTTGTAATTTATGATTATCATTGTAAATAAGGATTTAGTTTATCTTGCGTTTGAATATATGAATTTTATTTTCTTGAAAGAAAAATTATTGTATTATATTGAATACAGCTGTTGATTATTGATCAAGCAGATCTGGCTTTGAAACGTTCATAACCATCTCTCTTCTGTCTTCGGTCAGAGAACATCCTACATGGCTATTCATACTGAAAGGTATGAATATTGGCATCTTGTAACTCATGTTGAGTTTTATATGCTGCTACCAGGATTTCTGCTTGGACTTGCCTAACTGGGGAGGTCATGTATTACCATTCTCCACACACACAAAAAAAAAGATAGTTCTGAGTTATTGAGATAAGATTAATGTTTCAGGTCCCTCTCAGTAAGAACATTGTACCTGGGTGGGCAGTAGCTGGTGTTTGAAGCAAGGCTAAACTAGAGGGTGGGTAAGCTGTCAAGGCCATATGTTAGCCTACACTTAATAGTTGGACGCACCCTCATTAACTGGCTTAGTTTGAAAACTTTCAATTTGAGTGTGTTGTGTGCATGTAGGTTTTGTTTCCCTGGAACAAAATTGAACTTTATTTAAAATGGCAGTCATAGTTCCCCATTTGTTATTAAAGTTTAGAATTTAAAATAGAATAAAAAGTCTCTGAACCAGGGGATAGGCAGAAACATATAATCATGCATCTTTCTTCATTAAATATCATTGCTCTACAAACAATGTAAAAAATTGGCAATAAATGTGTATCCATGAGCGGCCAAGACTTTCCATATCAGCCTATCAATCAGTTTCACCGCACCAAACTGACATCCCAGCGCCCTGAATGTCAAAATGTGACATTCAGGATGCAGGTAACCAATCCTTCATCCCACATTCTTTAAGTCACGCCTCACGACATGGGAAGCACCGCCAGATGACACACTAAGTCAGTTTGTTGCGGCATGCTTGTAACATGACGACCTACATTGACCTGATCTTCTGAAAATATCCTTGAAGCTGTCACAGTAAGTAGAGTAAGAATCCCTGCATCAGGGAATAAAGCTTGTCGACAACTGACTGAGTCATGAGGTGCTAAACACAATCATGAAGGGCATGTGGGTACTGGTGATCACTTCCCACCACCATGTCAACCTCCTGGTTGGGGGGCCACACTCATTAGTTTTAGTGCTCATGTTTCCTCAGTGACATGCTTTATACTGACATATATTATGGCAATATTGTCTCACAGCACTCAATCAAGCGATGCTCCTTGCTCCGAGTAATGTTGACTTGTTTCTTTTCTCTCCCGTCTCCATAACTTAGATAATGGGTGACCCCAATGTCATGAATGATGAGTAAGCTGGTGTGTATGTGTGGAGCTGACAGTGCCAGGCTGTGGTGGTGGCGGCAGCAGGAGGGTGAGAGAGGCTCTCCACGCAGGCTCGGCACTCCCCTCCACACAGGTAGTGACTCTGTGCCTCACTCCACCCTCCACTCCCCTATTCTCATTCCACCTCTCGCCTCATGCCTGCCTCCATGAGTCCAGTCCTCACCCTTGACCAGTCATGCCATTATTCCTAGGGAGAGAATTGTCACATACAAAAAAATCATCACCCAAATTCAGATTAATTTGGATATTTAATTATTTTATACCTTTAATTTTTTTATTGGTTGTAATAGTTGTCACAAAATAGGAGTAACATCAAAGAAATTTCAACTCAATAGCCATAGAAATTATTTTATTTTGTATAATTATACTGTACATTTAGCTTCCATTCTTAGGAAAAATTTTTTGGGAGCTTTAGAATATCTTTGAAGGTGTAATAATATAGGTAAATTACCATTGATGTATTAATGAATGATACCTTTTTGATTGTGGGTGAATTGATAGTTAAAATAGGTAATATCCTTGTCTTAGTCATGTTGAGTGGTAACTTGCCTTCTAAGAAAGAATTCAAAGGAAAGGTTACATGAAAAATATTGTCAAATAAGAGTGAATATGGCACTTTATAGACTTGATGTCTGCAGAATGACAGTTACAATAGCTAAGTAGTAATCTGGAAACAATATATTTGGGTCATGGCTAAAATTTTGTTGTTCATGGTCATTGCAAATACAGTGGGATATAGATATTAGGACATTTCATAAATGCAGATGATTTTCCTTTGTCATGAAGGTTAGTATAATTTTTTCTAACTTGATGCTCTTGGTCTGGTTGGTCCTGTTAATGTGTAAGTCATATTGTATAGTACAGTATAGGAGAGTAGACCACGCTCTCACCTGACAGCTGGGGGGCAGTCTTATAATCACCAACCCCTCCCATAAAGACAAGTAAATCAATGCAAACAATATACACTTCTGTGTGCTGGTGTATAAATTGTTTATACAGCATACTAATATTGAACTAAGTGTCATTATCTGACTTGGTAATGCCGTAAGGGAAAGTTAGTGGGGTTACTGCAGTTCTGGTTGTTACCAATCAGAAAAGATGACATTTTTATCTTACTACATTAATTTGTAATATATTTTTATTTGTAACCCCTCTTCTGAATGTAGGTTAGCATTTCAGCCAGTGGGCCAACTGTATACCAGGATACATGATTTATCATGTGCAGGCAGTACCATAGACTGTATTTTACATATTTGTCATTTACGAAGCCAAGGACTTGTTTCATATTAATTGCAGATATTTGGCTTACGGTTTCAGGAGAACCATTTGTTGGTCGGATTGAACCATGATCCTGAATGGAGGTTTAAAAAATTTGCATATAAGATCCCCTGTTCTTTTACCCCATTAGTATTTATGTGCTGAATTGTGATTTATTGTTGTTAGATCATAATGTGAATTCCAAGATTTACTGCGAGACGTGGATGGGGTGCGTCATTTCACTTGTGTTTAGTTATGGTAGGTTTAACCTTTGAGGTCCCTTAATTATATTTCCACTATCTGAGGTGTCCTTTTAATTACTTATGTGTTTGGTAGTTCTAGACTCAACAGCTGCCTTCAGGTAATCGAGGCTAACTCACAAGCCTGGAAAATGGCTATTAAGCATTGATGATGATTAGACCATCCATATCCAAGGATAACAGTAGTTTAGCTGTGTTGGGCTAACCTTATAGTTTGATCTTATGTGGCTTATATGCTTTGTTACCTAGTGTTGATCAGGTCTCATTAAGATGTTTTTTTTCTTTTGACATAGAATGGAGATTGGGTGGGGCAATGTGTCCTGCTTTGTGCAGGAAGTGATAACTCAGGAGCTGTGTAATATGCTGGATTTAATAACTTGCAGTGGGATTATTCCTAACTTTGAGGGATTTTAAGGGAATCCCAGTTTACCACCTTTGATCTGTGTTCAACCAGAAATGTTGCAATCATTTAACCTTCTTAGATGATTACTTTTCATCCACATTTTGGTCTTGGGGGTTTTATGATACCCAGGGAATCACATTCTGCTGTGTTTTCCTTCCATTTTCCATGCCTATGTGGGTTAGTTGCAGTTGCCTGATTGCGGCTCTCCCTGTTTCATTGGTCTCTTGCATTCTCTCGTCAGGTTACTAACTCTAATGTAATTTCTTACAACCTCTTCCCCTGTCATTCTTGACCTACCCCTGGCTCTCCTCCCTTTACACATTTATGCACCTGCACTTCTTGACTCAATTGGTCTCCCCTATTCTCTCCACAGGCTCAAACCATCTAAACCTGCCTCTATGAAGAATGCCAAAATTGAATTTTCAATACCTAGCCTCCCTCCTAGCTTTGAACAGGGCCTCTTATCTTTCAATGTCATTTTACACATACACCAAACCATTCTCATTTCAGCTTGCTCAAGTATACTTATGTCATCCTTTTTTTAACACTCAGGATCATTCACTCCTATGTGGCGTATCGATTTAATGTAAATAAAACTTTTGCCTCACGATCGGACATGCCACTATGGCGTATAGTTCATTTTCTCAAAGTTCCTGGTCGAATTACTTCAAATTTTAATACCACTTTCTTCATGGTACTCGTGTATGGAATCAAGTTTTAAGGCTAGGTGTCGACTTGTGGTGGACAGCGCAGCCTCCAGATAAACATGCCAATTATGCATCTGGCTCAGTAAGCGAGAGGTGTACGTGTCCTGGGTGTGATTTAAAAATGGCTACTGTGGCGTTTGCGTCGCTATCTCTAAATATTTATTACTTGCAGCCTCGATATTTATTCTTAGGAAGTGATTAAATGATGTGTATTGAAATATGTATATAATGAAATATTGAAACATTTTTGAATTTGTGAGACGTTTGTGCAATGGCCTAGTGTCCAAGTGGACAGTATCTATAAATATTTGTCATTTACAACCTCGATATTTATTCTTATGATGTGATAAAGTGATGTGTATTGAAGTATTTATAATGAAATAGTGAAATATTTTTTAATGTATGAGATGGTGAACTGGCTACTTACAATACAGTCACATATACAGCTACTCCTTGATTTACGACATACTCGACCTACGACCACCCGGACATACGACCGTCCTCAGTCTTACCCAAATTTTGTCAAATTACGTATTTTCGAGTCCCGACGTTAAGTGATTGCGCTGTGTACTGACAAAATTTTTGTTTGTAATTCACTTAAAAATGGCTAGCAAGCTTAAAAGTGAGAATTTTGTGGTGCTGAGAAGAAAAAGAGACACCCATTTTAGATTTTCTATGTATTATTTAAGCATTTTCGACTTATGACCTGGATTTGAGTCCCTAACCCCGTCGTAAGTCGAGGAGCAGCTGTACCACCCAAAAGCATGTCGTAATATATAGGCCTAACTTAGAAAAATATTCAGTAATAGTGAAATGTAGTGCAGTAGAGGCATGCATATGGTGAATTTTAATTAATATATTGTACTTATTTGATACGTATTCCTAATGGTATAGCCATTGTCATGCATATGCCAAGGCCTATATCGTTGCAATGGTAAGTGGAAATATTGTTGTCAAAATTTCAGTTTTTGTCACAGAAACTTCTAATTGATCTATTTCTCTTCCTTAGTATGTGTGCAATAATAATCCGCCATTAAAAAGTATTTCCGAAAGGTTTCTAAAAAAAAAACTAACAAGGAATAAAATGTGTGTAAACATTTCGGCTACTGCGTGCTTAACCACCACGTATTTTAACTTTTTATTCTGTAACTTCGTTACTTTTTACATTATCCTTTTTCCGATTACACCATCGTCTTCCTCATAATTTACTTTCTTGTTTTGTGCATTTTATACTGACTGATACAATGATGTGGGTACAGCATGAAGAGGAAGCGACAGTAAATTCTCACCTTTCACATATTTTCTCCAAAATGGCTTTTTTTTATTATTTTATTTTTAAGGGTTTCATAAGATTTCTCAGCCACGAATAGCGCTCGGGAAAAAAAACTCCAAAATTTCTGGTCATTCTGCGGACTTCAAACAGAATCAGTGACAGGCTTATTAAATAAATTTTAGGCGATCCTGAGACTGTTAATTGCCCATGTTTCACTGAGGTTTGACAGTAATTGACTTGTTCTAACCAATCAACCCTGATGTTTGCATTAGAACAAATTTACCTAAATAGACAGTTATCCCTTAAAGACTGATGGTTGCACACTATATCCACCACCTGGGCAGGAGGTACAATATGCACAAATAGATGTATGTGATATTATGTTCCTCTGTTTAAATGTAATTGTTGGGAAGTATGTGAAATTGCCCTCAGAGTTCAAAGGTCAAGGTCTGCAAATCATTAGGAATACAGTCTTTGCACTTAAGCTATTTCTGTAGTAATCTGAGAGGGGGAATGATAGAGAGCCAGACTATGGTTTGGTAAGTTTATGAACTAGTCTTAGCGTGTCTGAATGGGTTTATGGTGCTCATTATCCTAGGGGCTGTGCATACTACTGGTTTATGTATTTTCAGAGGTTTCATGTACAGTACAGGAGAGTTAAGGGTCTTGGTAACCTAGCCTGTTTTGTGCAATTGATAATCTTCTGTGGGGGTGCATGTCTACCTAGTACAGTACTTGGAGTATTGATACCATCATAATTAGAAATGGAGGATTGTTCCTGGAATCCAGTTTCCTAGGTAAGCCCTCAGTCAGGATGCTCAGGCACCCACCCCCCACCCTTAGATTTGTGGTAGTCATTAAAACTAAATCCAGAGTGGTAAGTCTTTGCTCTAGCTGACTCATTAGACATGGCTGTCTTTTAGACCTGTCACTAAAGGGCAACCTTTACTTTAACGTCACTATTTAAGGGCAGTACAGTAGTTGCTAGGGGCAGGGATGATTCTAAGATCAGCCCCCAGCAGCCAGTTAGGGATACAGTATGGTCTACTGTCCAAGACACTTAAAATGGCTGCAAATAAGCAGGAGTCCATCATTACAAGTGTAGCTAGAAAATAGCATTGCAGGATCAATCTTCCATTTGTCATTACTCATAAAAAAATTTTCCATTTAAAG